TTCGGTTTGTTTTTGATGGGATTGCTCACTGGACTTTGTATCGGTCCATTAGCAGCTCTTTTGAGGCTGCCGACCTATTTGACGGCCTTGTAATTTACAATTCAGCTCTTTTGCTGCGGTTGAACGTGTGTATATAACGACCTGGCAAAAGCCATGAAGGCGTTCCAATGAATCAAATGTGCTCCACTCATCCACTCCTGTCGCACAAGAACCCTCACAATATCTCCTTGCCTGCCAATTCAAAACTCAAAGATTTTCTACGTGGCACGTGACTCTCCAGCTTTTTTTTTCCTTCCAACTTTTACATGTTAATGACCTGCATGTCACTGGACAGGCAATTGATCCAATTGGAATCTCGGTCAATCGACCATTTTTGAAGGTGTTGTGCCGTTCTCGTTGCTCCAGCGGCCCATTTGGGGCACCACACACATGCCAATGGACAATCTACATGTTTGATGTTTTTTGCTTTGTTTGAACAGTGACAGCACCATTGGACTGTCTTTTACAGTCCATCACTCAATGATGGATCAATTGCAATGTCTGAATTGATGGCATGTTGCATACTAAGAAAGCGTGTGGATCGATCTGGCGAAAGCTAAGAGGCGACTGGTGGGAAAAAACTTCTGGGGAGGCTTGCAAAAGTCGTTCTCCTGGTGTAATGGGTGTTGCGGGTCTTGTGTCTGACAGACTGGATGTAGAAACTGCCATCTCATTTTGAGATACTGCTGGTAGAGGCGTGAATCGAAAGGCTGTCGAGGCACCTCCATTGTCTGCCATTGTATCGCAAACCAAATCCGCAAGACTTTGTCAGTGTGGGTATGTGTCAAAGCTCCATGATTCTTGTTGCAAGCCTCTCCATATTTTTTTTCCGAGCCCGTTGCGTTTCGGGCGTCGCGGACCAGCGGGGAATCGAACCACCAGCTGCAGAATTTTTCTTGATAGTTGTTGCGGAATTAATTCAGAAGTTGAAAGGCGATCATCTGCGTTGACCTGTTGGTCCATTCAGATGTGACCTGTTGAATCCCAGCTCTTATGAGCGTTTGCTTCGCTTATGCGCATCGGACATGGTAGCCGAAACGCCAGCTTTCCCATCATGCGGTGAACATAGCCGGCTCAAACTATTACCTTATGGTCTTCCAGCTTTGCATACCCCCCATCAACTTCAAGGTATCCTTGGTCTCACTGGCAATGTGTCATCATGTCTTTTTTCCTGTCCATCGCTTCTGAGCTTTCGCCAGGTCGATCAACACGCTATTGCATGCCGCATGTTGCCCATTAATTAAAGCAATTGTAACTTCAGCCATCTTGGTGAAAAGATGAACCAAAAGCAGGTTCCAGGATTCCAATACGCATCTCCACACTTTCAGATAACAGTCGTCCTCGTGGTGAAGTTGGTAGGGCATCACTCTTGTGGTGCTGACAGACTTCCGGTGGCGGTTCGATTCCCCGCTGGTCCGCGAGTAGGACTCAAGACCGCAGACCCGCCGAAAGGCAACGGGCTCGGACAAAAGAAAATCTCCACACTTTCAGATAACACCACAGCCGAAGCCGCGTCAAATAGATTATTTTCCATTCAGATGCCTTTAGCCCTTTCTTTTGGAAAAATTCACCCTCTTGGTGTCCAGTTCCAACATTGAAGTTGACATCACGCACATTCCAGGTCACGACAATGACTATGCAGATGCCTTGAGCCGTTTCCTTCCCCATGACCGTTACCCATTAACACTCAACCACTTATGGAATCTCGAAACCAAGCCTCGCTTGTTTCCGCCAGACGTTCAAATTCCATGGAAACTTCCATCCTGACTTTGGATGTTTCTTCACTCGTAGTGGCTCTTCCGATTCCTTTCCTTTTTATCATTGCTGGGTAATACCACTTTCAATTAGGGAATTTTTTGGCGTTATTATCCATCAATTGTGAATAGCTTCGATTTGGGTTGCGTATGACCATTGACAAAGATGGATCATTCCTGACCAGAATATCTGGCATGACTACTCAATTATCCAGCAATGAGACAAAAAGGAATAATTTAAAAGGACCGATTCGAATTCGGTGGAAAGGGAGACAGATTAAATTGAGAAGATGTGTTTTTATTAACCTTCTACTGTCGAAGTGTTTTGCTGTCGCTGTTTTTATATTATATATATATATGTAAGTATTATTATTATATGTATATATACTTATTTGCTTTATACTGTTTGCGTGTTATATCTGCTTGTATGAGATATAACCTAATGTAATGAATGTCCACCTTGAACGTTAACTGTACTTGTTCAGTAATGTTTAGTGGGGGTACTTCGTTATATTGATTGAATGTCCCCTAAACATTTTGGCTCAAGGTGGCATTCATTGCATTAGCGTTTATTGCGTTACAGTGTTGCTTTTTTCTCCCTCCCACCACATCCCTGAATCTGTTTCACAATTGTAGGTTCAGTTGCCTTCACCTTGCGTTGCCGAGTGACATCAGCCGATTGTCACACCCATGCATCCGCTTCGATACCCATCATCTGTGCATTCGTACCTTGCATCCGTTATCAGCAGCCCCTGCTGCATTCGAAAAGGGTAATCGACCCTAATTTTTTGGATCCGATGTTTCACTGCGATATCTTGCTCCGTGCACTAATCCTTCGGTCCAGTGTTGTTCAGATGGCTCAATTTGAGTCTGCGTTGCACATTTGGTGATTCACACCGGAACCTTATATGAGTTTCTTTTTCATATCGCTGTTTGCTTGACCAATGTTTGATGCTTTCACCAACATCACTTAATTTTTTTCCTGTTTTGCTTGACCAATGCATGATGATTTCACCACACTAACCCACCGAATGATTCGCTGGGTTGCGTATGACCATTGACAAAGATGGATCATTCCTGACCAGAATATCTGGCATGACTACTCAATTATCCAGCAATGAGACAAAAAGGAATAATTTAAAAGGACCGATTCGAATTCGGTGGAAAGGGAGACAGATTAAATTGAGAAGATGTGTTTTTATTAACCTTCTACTGTCGAAGTGTTTTGCTGTCGCTGTTTTTATATTATATTATATTATATATATATATGTATATATGTAAGTATTATTATTATATGTATATATACTTATTTGCTTTATACTGTTTGCGTGTTATACCTACTTGTTTTTGTAATGAATGTCTCCTTGAACGACCCGTGCGCTCTCAAATTACGACCGGCTCATGCCCTTGTCTGTGACAAATTACGACCGTCACATGTGAAATTACGACCCGTGCACTCTCAAACGCTAATCCCCTTGTCTGTGACAGATTACGGCCCTCGCACTTGAAATTACGACCCGTGCACTCCCAAATTACGACGCGCGAATCCCCTTCTCTGTGACAGATTACGACCCTGTCGCCGCTTTGGCTGTATCCGCATTCCAGCTGCACAAGCTCTAGCATTGTATGGGCGGCGCGCGGCCAAAGCGCTTGGAAGTCAACCAGTCTTCGGCACCAGTTTCACGCGCCTAGTTTAAATTCCTGTGGCCTCTTTCCATTTCACCTGGCCGAAGCACAGCTGGATCCATCTACTTGCTTCGGCAGGCACGGGTCCGCTGCAAACAAAAAATACACTTTCCCACCTTACACCTCTCAAACAAACACCTCCTATAGAAGCCAGCTTTCCGGACGACGTCCTTTGCCAAAGCATGTGACTCACGCAGATCACTCAAACACGCCTCAGCCCTTTCCTGGCAGCAGACACAAAAAGACATGGTTCTTACCATGCAATGTTGTCTTACTGTGAATTCTATCGGTCCTCATGCCATTGCTTCTTTTCTTGGGCGCTGTCTCCTGGAGATGGACATGGCCCATGCCATTCCGGGGTCTGATCCACTTGAACCCAAACACAAAATGAAATTGGCCAGAAAATCCATCCAAAATACTTCCATGCAAATGTAAAGTCAGCAGCCTGGAAAAAACAATCAAAATCTCTAAATCTTCTAGAAACATCACAAACACAAACGGCCTAAAATTGTGTCAAGGAAGCACGGTAAGCCACGCATTTAAACCCGTTTCAGTTGCTACGCCTCCACGAAACCTGCGCACCCACATCTAAAACCCAAGAACCAGGAAAAGTCACCCAAAGTAAACCGCCAAATATGGACGAAGAATCCCATATCCTTTCCACAGAACTGGTCTAGAAACAGCTTCGACCGCAAAGAGGGGTACCAGTGATGGAAAAAAACGCTTGTGGACACCCGCCTCAGAGAGGCTGTGGAGCCTAGACGCTTCAAACATTGCATGTGGCTTGCTACACACTGCAGCTTGGCAGACTGTGTCGTGACTGCCGCCGGAAAAACCGCGCGCTTCTTGTCCAGCAGAAAACACCGCCTACAATGTTACAAGCTGACCCCCAATCTGGGCCCTCAAAAGTCTGGAAACCTTCGACCACATCAGCGTACCCTTAGTGTATACTTTGTATAATGGCGCAGGACCTTTTTCTTTTTGCACGGATTGCAGCTTGGTTCGAGTAACCGTTTCAGCGCGATCTGTGTCAATCCGATATCCTTTGTCTTCGGTGTCAACGCCACGATTCTTTGGTAATCGTAGCTTTAGGATGGGCGCAGGAGAAGAAGAATGATTGGGATGTGCTTCATATGATCTGTGTGTGCCCTACATTCCTTGGCCGTATCTTTCTGGTCTAGCTTCTTCCTCGGTGTTCAATGAAATGATTTACGGACGGTTCGCTTTGCAGCTGCGATGTGCGCGCTGAAAGCACAGTGATCAGAAGCATTGTCTAAACAAGGGGAAGGTTTTGGCGGCAGCAGGTTCAGAGTCCTTTATGGCCCTAGTTTCCAGGACCATAAAGGAAACAAAATATGTGGAGAAATCTATTGCAGGTCCTGGTGCGCGAGCTGAATCACTTGAAGCAGCAGCGCAAAGCGTTGCGACAGGCGTCTCAAGTGTGTTGCTTTGGCTTGCAGATGCAATTTGTCACTGTTTTCTGATGTTGGCCTCTTGAGGCCATTGCCACCAGCGGTTGCTATGAGGCTGGAGATAAATCCTATGCAGTATTGCCAGTATAAAGGGAGTTGCAGGTTACAGCTACATCTACATCTATCGAGACACCTTAACCCATTCCACCCTGCTTACATGCACAAGAAGTGGTGCCGCAAAATCGACGCCAACCGTCAACGGCACTCCCCCCCCATGGCAGGCCCAGGTTCGACCTCCGAGCCACCCCCGACGGGAGATTTCCGGCTGGTAGAGGCTCATCATCTTCATCTTCATTTTCGTCTTCATCCTCACCCTCCTCATCCTCATCCTCATCCTCATCCTCATCCTCATCCTCATCCTCATCATCCTCATCATCCTCCATCATCATCATCATCATCATCATCATCATCCCCATCATCCGCAGCATCCACATCATCATCATCATCCTCATCATCCTCTTCGTCCTCCTCGTCGTTGGTCAGCATCCACATCCCTTGGTCCCGCTGGGCCATTGGTTTCCTGCAGGTATAGGGTCGTCCTCTGCAGTATTTCATCTTCAGGACGCCATGTTCCGTAAACCAACCAGCAAGTCTATAAAATCATCATCGGAAACTTGCCAGCTTCCAAATAATCACAATTATCTTCCTCCCCCCCCCCCTCCTCCTCCTCCTCTTCCTTGTCGTCATCATCAGCATCATCATCGCCATCATCGTCATCATCATCATCATCATCCCCATCATTCGCAACATCCACATCATCAACAACATCCTCATCTCATCATCATCCTTATCATCATCGTACATATGTTGCATTGTCTCGAACATCTTTAAGCAAATTCGGGCTTCCATTTGGGGGGCGTTTTTTTTTTGGATATTGCATTTCTTTTGCTTACAACACTTGGCGAGAGACGATTATTGCACTGGGGGGTTTTCGCTTGCTGGACTCAATAGATTTTGCATCCCTACAACAACCCTGCTCATCATAATCACCAACCTCATTTTCATCTTCATTCTCATCCTCAGCATCCTCATCATCCTCATCATCCCCATCATTTTCATCATCCTCATCATCCTCCTCGTCCTCATCATCGTCGTCATCAACTCATTCCTGTTACCATCACTCTTGTCATCATCAGTTTCCTTCATCGTTCTGGTCAGCAACCTCATCAACATCAAAAAATTGGCACTGTTTGTGACTTGCAGCAACTCCAAAAAACCACATGAGACCGTTGCGGCATTCCGACTTCACCTTGCTAACCCCCCTTTACGATTATACCACCTTACCCCAACCCTGATAGCTTTCGTACCTCCCCCCCGGCCTCAAGTTGGTGTGAGAATTTTGCGTTTGGATGGAGGTTCATTTGCAACAACGTTTGAATGGATGCCTGTCGTTGCCATTTGGGTTCTTTTTAGATACCCCTAAAAGGGGTGTCGTGGTCACTTGGAGCCCTGCCACAGCCCCAGTTGCAGAGTCGTGGGCACCAACGGACCATCGTTGAGAGGCAAACCAAACGAAATCATCAAGTGACGAAAAACATCATGTGGCCACTCAACTTTCAACTAGATTGTTGCTGGAGTTGTGGTGTCTCATTTTTGAACAGCACTTGCAACGAAATCGTTTGATTCAAGTGGTATGGCATGTGATGCCTTACTGTCGTAGAATTGAAAACAACGATCAGACTGAGACGTGCGGATCCAACCAAGATGTCTGCAAACTTTCCATGGAATGATTCTTACCTTGTGTTTGCAGGGAACAAGAAACATATTTCGTCCAAACACAGTGTATAACAATTCTTAAAACAATGGAAAACCATGAAAACAAAAATCCCACAATAATAGATCATGAGGGGTAGTATACCCCAAAATCCACTGATTCGAATTTGGATTTGGGGTATGCCCCATTTCTGGGCCGAACCAAACACAATCTTGTTCGTTACATCTCATGATATCCGCATAACATGTTTTTGTACCACCACTTTTGCTGGTTGAATCCTTTGTTTTGGACACACCCAAGTCCAGTACTCATTAGTTCCAGCAATTTCCTTTTGTTTTTGCATGTTTTTGCTTGTTGAAATCCCAATTTTGGCTAGTCAAATCGCCCATTTCGGTCGGGTAAATTCCCGATGTTCGGCAAGAGTTTCTCGTGCTTGAACTGGGTCAGGTGGGGGCTCGGCCCAGAGCTGGGTCATGTCGGAACTGCTACAAAATTGGCTCAACAACGAGGCACCATCGCATTGCCAGGTCATTTTTTTTGGTAGGTTTTCCGGTGAGGACATTGGAAAACAATATCTGTTGAGAACGTCTTGGCGACATGTGAAAGTGTAACCATGGAAAGAAAGTGGGAATGGAAGGAACCTCTCAGCTTCAACATTGGAATCCTTGTAGTGGGACCGCACCAGGTGGGCCTTTCAACGAATGTATCCAACTTCGAAAAGGACGACCCACGGAACCGCACAAAACAAAGCGGCTGCAAAGGGGAAAAAACAGGCACCTGTCATGCAAATTGGCTAAAGTGGTTTGTTTGAAGATCGGAAACAGCGTTTTTAGTGGCTGTCTCATTTGGGGACAAAGGTCACTTGGGGGTTGTTCGGACTCCCGACAACAGTTTGCTGTGAGGTAAATTTATATAATTAGGAGGATTGTGTTTCAGGGTCTGTCATATCAGACACTTGATGTTAAAAATGGTACAACATCACCAGTGTGAGTGCCCAGTTGAAGCCTGCCCCTCCCCTTATGTCGACGTTGTCATCGGGCACTTGTTGGAACTTGTTTGGTACCGGATCTATTCGTTTTGAGGCCGAACTTGAGCCTGCCCCTTTGAGTGTGGGGTGATAGTCAGTGGTCAAGGAGGAATGACAATCCATTCATTGGGAATCTGCAGAATTTCTCGATTCATCAGCTCATTAGGAATTTGCTCGACACATCAGCAGGACTTCTCTTCTGGTTACCTCTTCGGAGAGATCTTGCACAAATTCTGGCAGGCGACAGGGCACCATGGCATGCCAACATGTGCCAAGCGGAGACGGAGTCTTTAGTGCCAACCGTTGATGTGTTTCAATGGATTACGATTTCATTTTCTACACACTTACTAATTCAAGAATCTTAGACGCACAGCATCATGATGCATGACGAGTATTGTGAATCCTTCTTTCAGTGCCTCAACAGTAGATAGGAAGATTTGGGTTTGCCCAGAAATGGGCTATCTCCATGTATTTAATATCCTGAAATAACAATTTTTTACAAGGGAAAATGATGATACACTACTGGATTTCAGGGGCGCCCTATTTTCAGACAAACGTTTTTTTTGTAGTAGAAGCATGTTGAACCACAGGATGTGTTGCATGTCATGCATGTCGTCAACCCCAGGCCGACTTCGAACAGTTTCAGAACAAGTGCCTTTGACATAACATGGACCCAAATTGTAGCACAAGGGAAGTCGTTGCATCTATATGTTTTTACATATTCATGAAGTATATGACATATGTTATTTTTCCCAGCATCACCACAATTACAATATGCAAAAAGTATTTTTCAATTTTCCTGGTTGAACTGGACAAGCCTCTTTTGAAGCTTCAATAATGGCCAACTGGACAACCGAAAACATCCGAAATGCCCAAGAGGCTCCCGGGTCACCTCGATCTTAGGAATTCGCACCAAGCAAAGATTGCCAACTTCAAGACTCTTGAGCCAATCCTGAAGGCGCCAATGAGGGGCCAACCTGAAGCCATCTGGGGATGTCTAGACAAATTCCATCAAATTCCCGACTTGCCATGCTGAGTCTATCCAGCAAAGATGTGAATTTTGTCAATGTTTTAATTGAGCAGTGTGGAACGTTCGCAGATTGAAGAGGAAAACCAAAATGATTCGAAATGACCCAACATCATGCAGATTCCTGAAACTACTTTCTGAAGCACTTTGATTTTGAATGATTTTGAATAGTTTTGAACTTTTTATCCCATTTTCTAAACCTGTGATGAAGTTGGCACCGGAGGCACTAGGCATCAAATTTAATGCCACGCTCATCAACGCGGCCTGGGAACTTGGCTGCTGTGTTGGAAATCCTTTGAACTGGAGCAGATTCCTGTCTGCAAAACTTGCTGACCATAAACGATTTTGAAACCTGTCTTCCCAACTCTGCATGACTTCAACTTAGTTAGCTTTGGCTGCTTTGGCTTCCATTTGACACATTTCAGTCATTTCAGTCATTTCAGTCTCAAAATCGGGTAGTGCAAACTCTCTGGATTTATCTATCCCAGGATTTATCACACTATTTCTCCAATAAATGTAGCACTTTGTTGTGGCCCATCAGGTCATGAACGGCGAGCGAGGTGCTGCATTGAGGTGTGGGGCGGCTGGTGATTCTTGAGATTAATTTGGAGCCACCCATTTTTGTGGTTCCGAACATTTTGGTTATTCTTATATATCTCTCTGATGCATTTTGAAGGGTCGGTGGAATTTCAAGCATCATATGGCTCGAGCTCTTTCCTCGAGCATTGGAGCTGGGTCGACTGCCGCCATAGTTCTTCGACTTCTCGATCAAATCGATCGACGATCTGCCCCGCTGGACCCTGGTGCTGTGTGCTCAATTTTGCATCCTGAACCTACCTGGCACATCCCCTCTGTTTTGGCTGGAATCTTTGTTGGCTTTTTGATATACCCTGTTTGCGAGGCAATTCTGACTTATAGACTGGTGGTTTTTCGTGCTGTTTGGGATCGGGTTAGCCAACCACTTCAGACAGCCAGATCCCTTTACCGGTTTGTGTAGTTGGGGTGCATGCAAGCGGAACTGGATAGCCTCAAGGACGAGGTTGATTTGCTCCGAAGTGAGTTGGTTCAGCTTCGAGCCGAGCTCACTATTCTGCGCAGGTCCATACAGCGGGGTCAAGCGGGTACAAGCAGCGAACCTGCTGGGTACTCCCATCCTGCTCCCGATCCTAGAGAGACTGAGAGCACCAGCAGCTTTTCTGTGATCACTTCGGGCGAGCCTGAGCAAGCCCCAATTCCAGAGGCTCGCATTCCTGGCCTTACTTGGGTTGAGCGCGAGGAGATTGCGACTGAGGTGGGGCGTTTTTTGCGGCGCTCTTTGTCTGGGGTGCATCGAGGCAGCTCGGGGCGTGACGCCCTTCCACTGGCTTCGAGGTTCTGGATTGTGGTCCGAGATTTTCAAGGCACCGTGTACGACCCTGTCAGGGTCTTCTGCAAGTGGTCATCGGCTCGTGCTTTGGTGAAGCGTGGAGCCAGTGCAGGGGATTCAGTTTTTGTGGGACTTCCCAGTCAGCGGGAAGTCGATCGAGCGGTTCGAGCAGGAGGATTTGCTTGGGCCGGCAAGATTGAGGGATGAGTCACGATTTGCATGACTCAGGGGCCGAACATTCAGTTGAAGAAGTCCCTGAATCGACCCATCCCTTCGTTTTTGAAGAAGGGGAAATTCAGATTGCATATCCCATCGGCATCATTCCTGAATCCGCCAGAGCTCACAAGCGAATCTCAGTGATTTTCATAGCTGAAGTTGAGAGAAAGGTCTTGGCTGCTCTCCCTTTGAATGCATGGAACAGCAGACGAGAATTTCGACAGCTAGCAGCCAATTGTTTCACAAAAGCAGCACTGCTCGAAGTAGCGGTATGTCTTATGGAGGACCAAGCGCACCCGGATTCGGAAATCACTATGAGGGTGTGGGTCGGTTTTCTCAGTTCCACAGTGGTGCAGTCAGTGGTTTGGAGTTCAGAGGAGGAGCCGGCAGAAGTCTCCTTCGACCTAGATGGATCACTGGATTATTTGCCTTACTCGCATGCCTTGACCGAGGTTTGCCAAGATCATTTTTCTTTTCAGACTCCGATGGAGGAAATTCCCTCTGCGGAGCCCGTTCCAGAAGATGTTGGGTTGGGCGTGCTTTCTTCCAGGGTGACCTCTCTGGAAAGTCAGCTGAGTCAAGTAGCCAGTGGAGTGGAGGCCTTGCTTCGAGAGGTGAAGCCGCGTTCTCTGCCGAGCCCGAAGGCCAGAGTGCATTTTGCCCAGAGTCATGCGACGATTCCTCCAAGTGTTCAACCTCCCGAGCCCAGAGCTTTCCCAGGATTGGATCCAGGTGTTGTTTCTGCGGCTTTGCAGGCCGGAATTGGCGAAGAGGCTCTCACAGAGATGCAGACCCTTCTATCGAAGACTGGGAAGATGGGGAAAACCCGCGAGCCAGCCTTGCGGCAGCCATTGGCCGCAAGCGCGCTTTCCGAGACCGAGGAGGAGGCCGAAGAATCTGGTTTGGCAGGCAGCGGGTCCAGCCAGGATCCTATGACAGCAGCAGTTTCGAAGCTCACTCAGATTGTTTCCGTGTTGGCTCAGAACAAGAAACCTTCCAGTTCCAATCGGGTGGAGGCCGCTCTGGATGGCGTGAGCCATGCTCAGGAGATTGGAGGCTATGGCAGCGGCAAGAGGGCTGCAGCGGCGCGTCGAGCGCTTCGGAGCGCTTTGGTGGAGCACCCCGGCGATTTGTCTGCGGTGATAGAGCGACATATGTGGGAAGACCTCAGCAGCCAGACTCTCACTCCTGGGAGTCCTGTTGCGTCGTTGAGTGCTCGAGCCTGGACCGAGCATCGGTCAAAGATTGGTGCTTACAAGTCTATTGCGCATGCTGCGTGGGGCGTTTCAGGTGCGCTGGACGCTCTGTTTCGAAACGATGTGCCGTCGGCAAGAGCCCGCCTTTGTCTCCTCCTCCTGCAATTGGACCAATGCGCCGTGGATCGCGGCGGCTGGCAGCTGGCGGCGGAATTGTCGTTGGAAGCTCCGCCCCCTTTTTCGGTGCTGAGCCAACATCAACCGCCAAACACTGCAGACGGAGAGTTACCATATTCTCGTTTGTTGGATGCAAGGTGGGCAGAGATTGCTCTGAGTCATTTGCGAGACACGGAGGAGTACCTCACCAAGAGGCGGGGCCTGAACAAGTCTGGAGCGAAGGAAGAGCTGCCGGATCCCAAGAGGAAAGCAAAGGCCAAACCGAAGGCAAAAGCCGGGGAGGGCGCTGCCGCGTCCGATCCCTGAACTCTGACCACGAGGGGGCTGCGGAGCCGCACTCCGTGCATGTTCCTGGTTCTGCAGCCTCGACGGTGCATGTTGCCTCTTTGGTGAATTCGTTGCCACGCTGGTTGTTGCGAAGCCACTGCAGCCTTGCTGGTTTTTTGCGCAGTATCGTTCAATGCCCTGCTGATCGTACAGATGCAGCTACGTCTCCCAGCCGAGGCTCTTCAACTTGGCCTATGCCCTTGCCGTATCCTGAGGTTTTTTCCCGAGGTTGCAGTGTTTCAGGCCTTCATCACAAGAGGATGGTGTGCTTGCATGTGATGGTGCTTGATTGGCTTTGTTTAAATAGGCCCTCTGCGGCGCCCAGGGAACTCAGGCTTGGGGCGAGATTGACTCCAAAGCAGTGGTCAGCTGTAGCAGTACTCAAGAGGCTGGCTTGGGATGGTAATACTCCTGAAGCAGTCGATGCAGTTTCAATGGGTCGCTCTGCAGCTAAGTTCGAATCTTTTGAAGCTGATTTAGGTGCAATTCATCGAGCTGCTTTTGACTGCTTGCGTTGTTCTGTCAGTTCCTATGCATGCTCTTCTCCGATGAGGAATCGTGATGACTTCTCCTTGGATTCCTTGCGTTCAGGTTTTCTTGCTGGTCGGGTCGAACGGGCCCCGATGGTGGCTGCCAAGTCTATTCAGTCAAAGCGACTTGCCTTTTCTGGTGCCCCTCGTTTTTGTCCTCAGCCTTATCTTGATGAAAGGACTGCGGAGATATACGATGCCCCTTTGAAGCTTGCTGCTGATCCCGCATCACATTTGGGACCGGTGCCAAAGGTGAGAGTGTTTGCCGATGCTCAGAACAAGGTGTCTCTCTACAAGAAGTTAGCTTCCACGGGAAGGCTGAAGCCGGTGCCTTCGTCATGCAAGCGCGGACCATATGTCTCAGGGATGTTCTGTGTATGCAAGGACTTGGAGCGCGACCGCCTCATCTTGGACTCCCGGCCTCCCAATATTTTGGAGTGCAAAGGCAGCGTTTGGACGAACGCCATGGCTTCTGCTAGCTCCCTGGTCGACTTGTGTTTGCAGGAAGACCAAGTTTTGGTTGCTTCTGGCGAGGACTTGAAGGATTTCTTTTACCAGTTTCAAACAACTCCTGAGAGGGCCATGCGGAACATTCTTTCTGACCCGCTGAGCTTGGAGGAGGCCGTAGAAGTATTTGGGCCTGCGTTTGAATGGCATGAGGATCCGGTTTGGGTCGGCCTTTCGACCCTTGCCATGGGGGACAGCAATTCATGCGAGTTTGCACAGTGCAGTCATTTGAGCTTGTGCAGGCGCAAGAAAGTGTTTGAGGATGACGAGCTGCTCTCGCTGCGAGGGCGTGTCCCTCGCGGTCTCCTGAGTGTGGGGATCATCATTGACGATCTTGTGGTGCTGGAGAAAGTCTTGCGTTCTCAGTTTGATGCCTACAAGGATGGGAAGATGCCTCTCCGAAGTGAAGAGCGTCTGAAGCGAGCTCTCTGCGCCTACTCTGAGGCAGGGTTGGAGGTGAACCATAAGAAGGAGTTCAAAGCCGAGCTCTGCTCACGTTTTTGGGGTGTTGAGCTGGACGGAAATGCAGGGCTGTTGCGACCTTCCTCTCTGCGGCTCTGGCCTGTGGTGTTGATTACATTGCGGGTTGCCAGCCTTGGGTTGTGCTCGGTGTCCCTGCTGGAAGCTCTGGCAGGATCCTGGATCTCGATGTTTTCTCTGCGTCGTCGTCTTATGTGTACAATGGAGCTGGTTTTTGAGGCCCTGGCGATTTCTGACCAAAAGGCGGTGATTCGACTGTCCCCTGCTATGATTGACGAGCTCTGGACTATGGCCCTATTGGGGCCCCTTGCTTGCATAAATCTGCGGGCTCAGCCTACTGATTTTTTGGTGGCCACGGACTCTTCTCTGTCGTGGACTGCTGGAGTGAGTGCCAGGCTTCCAAAGACCATTTGTGCTGAAGTGATGCGGCGCAGTCTGAAGCGCGGCGTCTGGTCAAAGTTGCTTCCGCCGCATAAGGCGTGGTTGAGAGAACACGCCCTGCTTTCGGAGGGCGAAGAGATGCCTGGCGAGGGTTATAGCTCCCATCCTCTCTGGAACTTGCTTGCTTCGTGCCTGCAGTATGAGTTCAACTGGCGAAGGCCTATTTTGCAGCGCAGACACATCAATGTCACTGAGCTTGATGCCAATTTGAATGCCGAGAAGCGATCTGCTGCGAACTTGAAGCACAAGCGGATTCTTTTTGCTTTGGATTCTCAAGTGGCACTCGGAGCTTTGGTGAAGGGCAGAGCTTCCTCTTCAGCTCTCAATGACCAGCTTCGGCGATCTCTGGCGCATATGCTGGGTGCCGATTTGTATGGCTATTATATCTATTTCCCTTCCCCTCTGAACCGAGCGGATGCTCCGACCCGTGATGCAGATGTTCCTGGTCCTGATGTCGAGCTTCCGAATTGGTGGGATAGTGCTGCAGCCGGTGACTTCACCCTTTTTGATGAATGGATTTCGGCTATGGAAGCCGGCGTTGTTGAACCTGAATTCGATTTGGAGCAGCTCGATGCCCGAGCCCAACCTGACTTCGCCTCGGCTCGAATGAAGCATGATGAGGCATTTGGTCAAGCCAAGCGGTTGCACAGGAGTGTGGGTTCACTTCGCGCGTCCTTGAAGCCTGACCTTGTTTCCAAAGCTCGACAGAGTGATGAGCCTGCCGGCCAGGGCAGGCGTTTCGACAGAGGTGAGAATTCACCCCCTGCATCCTTGGAGCCTGAGCTCCCTCCTGAATCTAGGAGGGCTGATGATGAGTCGGGTGGGCTATGTGCTGAGGCTTTGCAAATTTTGCGCTCCTTCAATACGAACCAATTTTTTGCCAAAACAAAACCCTTCATCCTGCGAGAAGCTGGAGCCCTTGACTTGTACAGTGGGAGATTTGGAGTTGCGAGGCAGTTGGTTCAGTGTGGAGCCCCTTGGGTTCTGACTTTTGAGATTGAAAGAAGTAGCTCTGAGGACCTTTTGGATCCCTATGTGCACAGCAGAATTTTACGGTTGCTTGAACTGAAAGCGGTGAAGATCTTGGGTGCTGCCATTGTCTGTAGGTCTTTTACTACAGCCATTACTCCTCCCATACGCAGCAAGCGCAACCTCAGGGGAATCCCTGGGCTAGCCCCAGCTATGAAAGCCAAGGTGACAGAAGGGAACTCTCAGGCTGACAACCTTGATGAGGTTTTGAGGAGCGCAGAAGCAAATGGCTGTGGGTTTTGGTTTGAAAATCCAGACCTGTCATGGCTCTTCAAACAGAGGAAATATGCCGCCAGGTACGGAAGTCCTTCATCTTCATCTTTGTTTCGCTTTTGCATGTGCCGTTTTGGCACCCCATGGAAGAAGCCTACGCGAGTGGGCACCAACATCCCTGGGCTGGCTGGGCTTAGGCTCTGGTGCAAATGCAAGCGGAATCATTTAGTCTTGAGAGGGAGATCAGCCAAACACAAGAAGAATTGGACTTTGGTGGCGCAACCTTATCCTCTTGGGCTCTGCAAGCTGATAGCTCTGGCGTGTTGCGTTCATGCTCGGTGGACAGCCTGCAAGAAGCTCGATATTGGGGCCTGCTGCAGATCCTCTTCCCAGCGTATAGGCGAAGCATCCAACCCCGGGCCGAGATATAGTGCGGCTCGGCGAGGACTGAATCTTCATGGAGTGCATCTTCGTACTCCAGCCACTGAAGCCTTGGAAGCTAGACAGCTACATGTTTTCATCGAATGGTGCAAAATCAAGCTGCCCAGTGTGGATCTTTCAGTGGTTTTTGATGTTGCTCCTAGTTTTCTAGCTGATGTCCTCTGCATATATGGAGTGGAACAGTTTAACTTTGGGGGTGCTTTGAGCAATTTCCGTCACTTGGTTTTAGCGGTCCAGCGTTGGAAACCTATGTTCCGCATTCAGTCTGGAAAATGCTGGGAAATTGTTGGCAAGTGGGAGATTTGTGAACCTGTTTCTCACAGGCCTCCTATTCCAGAGGTGGTTGTTAAGAGCATAGTTTGCTTTGCTTGGCAGCTGCGATGGTACCGTTTTTGCGGAGTGACTCTATTAGCTTTTTATGGTGCTGGAAGAATTGGTGAAGTGCTGAAATGTCGCCGTAGTGATTTGCTTTTTCCGCAAGACGCCTTGGATGAGACATCTTGCGCTGTTTTTCTGCAGCTGAAACAGTTCAAATCCCTGGGCAGACAGCCTTCACGTGTGCAACACATGAAGGTTGACCACAAACAAGCTTGCAATCTGCTCTCAAAGATATTTCTGCTTCAGCCAGGCGACACAGTGCTCTATCCAGCGTCTGCTGGAGTGTATAGAAGACGCTGGGATTTTTTGTTGAAAACTCTGGACATTCCTGCGACGTCGAAGCTGACGCCTGGCAGCCTTAGAGGAGGAGCTGCTGTTCATGCTTACAAGTCTGGAAAATCCGTTAACGACATTATGTGGTCCCTGCGTCTTCGAAGCCAACAGACTTTAGAAAGCTATCTTCAAGAGGTTGCTGCGATAGGAGCCCTTCGTGATTTGCCTGCTGATGTACGACGACGGCTCTATGCCTTTGGAGCTATCTTCGATCATCTCTTTCCTGGCGCCATCCGGGACCCAGTGATTGGGCAATGACCTGTGCCAGCTCAATGCCATGCTGGCCGTGAGGTCTTTCAACCCGGCCGCCCTTGCCTATGGATGGTAGGGACAAAGCCCTTGTGAAGATGTGGTCAGCCTGCAGTTGACTTGGTTCATCCGATTTCGAGCCCTTCTACATCAACTGCGAATGCGGCTGCCAACACAACCTTGTTTGGGCGAGCGAAAAGCGAGAGTGCGCCAGCTTTGCACCACATCAGAACCACCAACATGCATCTCTCTGATGCATTTTGAAGGGTCGGTGGAATTTCAAGCATCCCCTCCACCCCCACCCGGCACACATGGTGCTGGGTAGGGACAAAGCCCTTGTGAAGATGTGGTCAGCCTGCAGTTGACTTGGTTCATCCGATTTCGAGCCCTTCTACATCAACTGCGAATGCGGCTGCCAACACAACCTTGTTTGGGCGAGCGAAAAGCGAGAGTGCGCCAGCTTTGCACCACATCAGAACCACCAACATGCATATATATATATAGAATATAGAATGAATGCATCCATTTTTTGGGCTCGTACAGTTTGGACTCATGTGAAGAGACATGTTCAACCATCCATTTTTTGGGGGTCCACAATTGTGAAGGCCATGTTGCGGGCAACAATGGAATCTCAATCAAACAATAGTTATGGAACCATGACGGGGTTGCGATTTTTTCGTCGGCAAAGGTTGGGATACAGTGCAGGATGGCATCAATATGTGGAGATGAAACAGGTCAATTGATGGTGCTTCATCTAAGGAATGTGGGTACCCCATTTGTGCCGAGAGTAGCCTTAGGCGTTCCAACTTAGGCGACATAGAGGTCACTTAGACGGTGCGCCCTGATGTCTGCTCCAGCTTTCGCAGGCTCATCAAGATGTCGCTCCACAGTCCACACATATTTTGACAGGTCTTTCTTTCATGTGGGTATGGATCAATACCTATAGATACATTTTTAGTGGGATGAACATCCATTTACCAGCTATTTTGGGGTTCACTAGGTACCAGGGTTTTGACCCATCCCCATGTAATTCCAACTCTTGGCCAAGAGTGGACAACACAACATGACATGTTTGCTGACAGCATTCCTACAACAACCGAATGAACTTGTTTCGTGTTGGCCGTTTAGGGTGTTTTCAATCAATGACAAGTAAATCAAGCCACGCCGAAGTTCCTTGGACATTCGCCTACTCCCTGCGAGCAACTGCGCTGTGTGTCACGGCATGGAGGAGCAGATGTGCTGCTGATGGCCAGAAAATCACCCGATCTCAGGGGCAAACATTTTTTGTTGTACGCATATCCTCAGTCCTAGTGGACCAAGATTATTTGAATGTGAAGTAGTCAAACCAGCTTGTGTTTGTCTTGATTTTTTAAAAATGTATGTATATACTGTATATCTGTATAGCTGTATATCCAAATTTCATTGAGTATCTGGCTTGTGTATCATTCCTTTTGGTGATGAATCATAACCACCCAAGCATGAATGACAACTGCTCCTCAGATGGGAGGAGCCACCTGAGAAGCGACAGAGATGCGGAACCAATGGGTCACTTGCCAGATATCTATTCATTTGCTGATCATTCTGAGACCCCGTGTATGAATAGCACATATATATATAATATTATATATATATAGATATAGATATACATATACATATACATACACATACATACATACATTACATTACATTACATTACATTACATTACATTACATTATTAATTCTATCGGGCATGATTTAAGCCCAATGATCCCCAGAGAAGGTGTGAAGGCTTTGTTTTCGCCATCCCAGTTGAGGGTGGAGTTACTGAGGTGGTCTGGCTTCGGCAGTGGTCAAGCAGAGCGGTGTGCTGGGAAGGTGAAGATTTTGGCCAAGGTGGAATGAGACCCTGCGACTTGAAGGTGATCATAGCCAGATAAACCGAACTTTTTGTATTTTGCCACATGGTGAAACTTGGCTATGGTTTCTTATTGTGTTTCCATTGGTAATATTGTACAGGCATAGATGTCCTTTTCCCACTTTTTTTTCCAGGAAGTTTTCCTCCATTCAACATATTCAACAACGAAAATAGGTAGATTATCATGACAATAAGTTCCGAAACCGGCCCCTCGATTTTTCCTAGAATGACAATATGGCACCACCATTCGCTTCTCGCATCTGCTCGCAGATCTGGCAGGTCGCCGATGCCACGGGCAGCGCGGCGCAGCCCAATGAAGCCATTGCCTGTGGCATTGGGTGCCATTTCCCAGCCATGAACTCGGGTGGAGGAGAGGGACACCACATTCGAAATGGGGATATAACAGGGATATCATGGGGATTTTTTATGGGGGACATAGTGGATAATGGCCTATCTATAACCATCATGAATCAAGAATATCGTATTTTGGCTGAGTCTAAAAAATGAGGTATACCTCCAACATGTTTTTTTGATAGGAAGATGATGATGAAGCAGTATATATTTGGGGTACCCTCTTTTCAGACTGATCCATAGATGAGTTCTTAGCCCTTCCTGAATGGGATGCACCTCCAAGTGGGAATCAGAGCTGATTTTTCTTCAGCACCAGATTGGGAGAACCATTTTTGAGTGGAAGTTCAGACTTTCAAACCAGTTGCATTCCTATATTGGAAATCAAAGCCTCTGGTCCCTTCAACCATCGTTCTACTTGGTCTTGTGGCTTTGGGGGACCTTTTGAACCCATGAACGGCAGATTTCATGGCCCATGACCTGCCTGGTTTTTGGGGCGTGTCACTTTTGGAGGCACTCACATAGGTATGGCTCAAACTCATGTTCCAGCATATTCTGCCAAAGTTGAAAAAGCAGAGAAGAGATGACCCAGTTTCTGGGCTTCTTGGTGATGTTTTTTTGTTTTTTGTTTTTTCCCTTGTGTCAGGTACTTGGACCACATGTTGGACCAGCTGAACTCTCACGGGCAACTTCGTGTCTCCGTTCAGGCCTCTCAGACTCCAGCTGGGGAGCTCCTGTTGAATTTTGGGGTTCCAAAAAATGATCACCACTGCTTCATACTAGTAGCCCTGATTTTTGACCCTGATGTTGCAAGACGAGTTTGTTCATGGAAGCCGCAATTTTTGGGTTCCGTGTAGAGTTTCGGAGGCATATGCCCAATAGGTGCTGTGAGTCGCTTGTGTTGGTGTGACCCCAGAATCTCAAGAGTTGAGCATAGGATTTTAGCCACACTGCTGGAAACCTGAGAGCGATACAATCCAACCCAATCAATCCAATCAATCCACTTCCATGTTTAGAGGTTACGTATGAAGGCGAAGAAATGAACAAACACAGACACAGATGGATACAAAGTTCTGGAAGCTACGCTTTTCGACCACCTGGCAATCCCGGTTTGGTCAGGCGTGGCTTGGAGGGGAGAAGGTCTCTCCGCATTCCAACGATGCCTACACCACCAGCTGTGACCATGAGGTCCGGGCCCGGGCTTCCCACCTTACCTACTTGAGACGGGAAGATGGGTGTGAAATGACCTGCAGAATGTTTTCACCTATTCCAGTGCAACAAGTTTCACTTATTCCAGTGCTTTAGCTTCCATCTGTCTTTCTGCAGGTCGCAAGCTCAGTAGGCTCGGCCTTGGGTGCTGCGGTAAAGGAGATGCTACAGAGCAGGACGGGAAGTGGATCTGGGGACCATGGCCTGAAATCAGGTCTGGCGTAGATTCTGCGGATGGACGGTGATGTCTTAAATCATACATATTCGATTGATAAATATGCAGACATATCTATGCATTTGGTTAGACATGTATGTTCGAGGTATGTGAATGGATGTGAGAGTTGCTCAATCCATTTTTAAGATGTGACCACGAGTCAGAGGTCAAACCTACTGACCTTGCCCCCACTTCGATGCAGTTGATCCGGGCTACAGTCATCCCCTTTGGGGGTTGAAAACGTGGAAACCATCCCCATGGTGATCCGTTGACTGGAACTTGGCCTCTTGGCCGGCGACATGAACCGAACCAGTACAAAATCAAGGTTTCTGGGGGAGGGATTTCATAGATTTCCATAGGGCTTGCCAGGAGTTCTGAGGGCTCCTTCCGCTTCCTGGTGCCATTGGATGAGGTTCGGTGGACCCGTTGAGCCAGAAATTTCTTGGTGGAACATGTCTTCAGAGGAACTCAAAGGATGTGTGGATTGACTAAAATTGGGGTTTCCTCATTCAAGAGGAGCAATTTCGGAGGATCCATTTCCAGAACCCCTCATATGTTTTTAGCAGACCCGTCAAAGATTGGTGTGATCTCTACGAAAGAATTGATCGCAGAAGTACCTTGATCCGGTATAATTTTCCCCGTAATCCAACGGATGCTGGGATAGCACCTGAGGCCCTTACGGACTTGTCTCTCACTTTCCCAGCAGTTGGAGCAGAGGCACTGGTGATGCTGAGGATATACAGTATATGGAGGGTGCCTGTATACTTGCAGAGACGAATCAACTGGAAGAGTTGGCGAAGGATGTGAATGATGTGAATGCTTCTCAAAACAATCCCCAGGCCTGCGGTCAATGGTTTTTCATGTTGTTTTCCCCACACAGAGCTGGGAGAATCTACCAGGCCCTGCCCAGCGAAGTGTCCTTGGCGCCCTTTGGCAAGTTTCCACCGGCCGGGCGCACCCGCATCGGTTCTTTCCGCAGCTTGGCCCCTGAAAATGAAGGACCGAACCCTATAACCCCCATTAAATCTCCAGAAATCCGTACAAATCCTCATCTTAGTAGACTTAGACCCCTTCTTGGGTAGGATCCATGGCTAGCAGGCTATAGTCTTTGCGTAGTACTCGCCACGAAGTTACAAGTCTGGGGCAGATTCCCTATGTCTGGGTTGTCGTGCTAACAGCCCCAAAAATGAATTACCCGGAACATGTGGTGAGATTTGTACCGCTCCACGCATCCGCCATTGGATCACTGTTGACATCTTTTGGATCCAATGGATCTCTGCGAATCGAGGCACTTGCCTCACTGAAGTCGTGTTGCAGAACTTTGCGAAGGCCTTGAACGTGTGCCTTACAGCATCTGGACATGATTGAGTTCACGCTGTTGGTCAAATCTGGGTATGTCTGAAAATGGGGTATACCCCCAATTATAGCCATTTAGTAGGGATAATGATCATTAACCATTGGGTGTAGGGGTACACTATTTTCAGACAAACCCATCTGTTCAATCACCCAATAAATTCAACCATTAACCATAGATAATTAATCATCAACCATTAACCATAGATAATCATTCACCAACCATCATCGATGTTCAATCATTGAAATCTCTGGGGATTTTTGCAACGCAGAAATGATTGAAACGGGCAAGTCCCGGACCTTGGACCATCGAAGGTTTGATGTTTTTTTTGGGTTGCGAGACTCTCGTGTTGCCGGTCGTCGCCTGCTCGTGTTGGCAATAGAACATGAGTTTAATGACCACCAAACATATAGAAACCAAGTCGCACACCAAAGATCATGGAGTAGTTTTTGGTACCAAGTGACCCATGTGGGTCAAGACTCACAATATTTGGTTCCAGGTCATGTTTGTTTTTGGACCGAGGGTCTCATATGACCACCTTTTGGTGGTGAAGACCCAGGTCAAGAAACTGAGGGGGGACAATGCCCATCACATTGTGGAGGCTGGTGGATGTGGGTCACGTTATCGAGTTCAATTTTGGAGCACGTATCCACTGGTCTTGAAGCTGGTTTTTGTTAGAGTAATTGCATTTTGCTGCGGAGGCTAGGATTCAAACATTAAAACCCAACACTTCGAGCATCAACTACCTGATTTTTGTTTACCCACTGACTTGACTCAACCTCCACCGCTCTCGACGGAAGAATAGTCCCTATGGATCGTTGACCAATATGTCTACCAAGAATCATTGGCAGTATCATAAGGGCAGAAGATGAACCTGCACATCAATCAGGGAAGCAGTTTTTATCAGGCCTGCCCAACTTCTCAAACAACAGTGGATTGACAAGTATCCAAGGTTTCCGAATACAAACACACCCTCCCTCCATCTCCCAAGGAGAAAACAAACCAACAGCAACTGAAAGCACAGCAGTTTCAGATGACCCATCCCCCCGAAATCACCCGTTTCCACAGCTTGATCCCAAACTTTTCCATGGCTCAACTCCCAATTTTATGATGGTTGAAATCTCAGTTTTTGATATTTTTCCCAAGTTAAGCTGGTTGAAATCGCGTGGCTTTTGAAACTCCAAAACCATGCCATGGCCGCCATGGCCAGGCGACCTTCAAATCCTTGGCTCGTTGCCTCCGTTGCGCCCTGGACGCCTTCCTACAGCTGGACCTACGGCATGCGCTGCCGGCGGTGCCGCGGGAGACGTGCAAGCAGCGGGGGACCAAGGAGCTGTTGGATGGGTGTTAAAATGGGACATGAAACCCCCAAATTATGGCATTTTCATAGTGAGAATCAGTGGATCAGTGGATTTTTGGGGTTCCCCAGAAATTTCAGACTCAGATTTTCTGCGGGGGAATCCAGAGAGTCCATATGGCAAACCATCCGGTTGGCTGAACCCCACACGACTTGTGGTTCAAGCCCTGAGCCATCTCTTGTGCCATCAGGAGACGAACATCGACATCTCTCTGAATTTGGATGCGCCGCCTGAGTCTTTGGGGAGGAGAGATGATCAAAGGCTTTGCTGACGATCCAAGAAGCTGAAATGAACTTTGACTTGCATGGCTATGGCTAGATATCAATGCAATGCTCCAAAGTGGATTGCTCAGTTGTTCAGTACCAAAAAGCGACCACTTGTTTTTGGTAGTTCCTTTGAATCTGCACAACGGCTAGGATGGTACTCGGGATTACTCACCCAATCATCAGCCCCCCGGCTACGCCAGCGCAGTATTTCCACTGGGCTCTCAACGTTGGACGCGCTGCTGCGGAAGATATCGACCTTTCGGATCCATGCGAAATGCTCTGGAGATGTTTGGATCGATGAACACCACAGCACAGAGGATGTGATGATTACGGCGCCACGCCACGTGGGTTTGTTGGGTTGTTTGTTGTTTTGTGTTGGGCATCTGGGGTAGACAACGGTATAGCGTATTAGTGTTGAACAGCATTGTACAGTCCGCCGCTGCACCATTGCAATCAGTCCGCGCTATTGTTGAACAGCATTGTGCTATGCAGCTGAGTGGTTCAGAGCAACATAGAATGAACAAAATAGATGTGTCTAGGTATCTGAAGACTTCAAGCCCAAACTTGAATCAAACTTGAATGGTTGACTCCTAAAACATCCTAAAACCAGCAACCCAGATTTTCATCATGTATTTTCCTAAATCATCAACTGAGATAAAGACTGGTTGCTGATCCTGTTGGTGAACTGGGATAAAATTTGTGAGATAATCGACTACGGGGTATCACTGAGTATAGCTCCATTGTTTACACAACTGGTTATATATTATATAATCATCAACTAACTGGTGGTTGTGATTACTATTATGCTATTATTATTAGTATTATTGCAACTATTCTCATTATCATTATCATTCCTGCTATTATTATTATTATTACAACTCTTCCTATTATAATCACTATTATTATCATTACTATTATTGTTATTATGGTCAGTATTCTTATACTTATAATAATAACTAACCATAATAAGAATATTATAAGAATATACTATAAGACATTATGGATATTACTATTATTAATATCTTTCCGATATCTCCATTTTTTTCCCATGTCAAGACTCTCTGTGTCGTCCCAGGTGGGTCAGGCGCTACATGTGGCGCTGGGCTCCAAAGCAGGCTGCTGCCGCATGGCCTGGGCCGAGGCGCACTCTGGTGCCGCGAAGGCCGGCACATGGCATCTATGGTGAGATTTTCCGGTGAAAACCACCTATCTGGTGATGGTTAATAGTGGTTTTCATAGGCTATAAACCAACAACCATGGGAATATGATGGTGATCTGGTTGGTGGTGACTGGAACATGACTGGATTATGACTTTCCAAAAAAAATTGGAAATAAGAATCCCAACTGACGAACTCCATCATTTTTCAGAGGGGTGGGTCAACCACCAACCAGCTATGGTGACTATGGTGATATCCTCAAACACTACACTATGTTATGGTGACGATGCACACAAGACATGTCCAATTTGAAAATGGTCGAAAAGTGTTTGAGGTCGTCAGTCTCGGTATAGTTGAAGACATGCTGGTTTTATGAAATAGCTGGACAGCCGGTGTCTGACAGTTGTGCGACAGTTTTTGGAGGAAAACGCGTAGATTCAGGATCCAATACCTACCAGTCCATCAGGTGCTTTCAAGGGAGATAAAATTGGGAGACGGGTCAACCAATCATAAGTAATCCGTTTTTTGAAGCAACTTGTTTACCCCAAAATGGAGTTGCCCTTAAATCTAAATCATCACATTCCCCATGGAAATGGCCATGGCTCGCTGATAATTCGTGTATTCCCCATTTTGACCCAATCCCATGGTGCTTCCTTCCTGCTGGAAAAACCGTTTCAGAGTTGGGTGGTTTCTGAGAGGTGCTGTGCGTCATGGACCTCTCCAATCGTCCTGGCTTTTGTGGGACGCTTAGAGTCGATTCTCGTGGCAGTGCGGAGTTGCCCACCATCCATTTTGACGGAGGATGGATTTGGATGATCAAGCATCCTACAAAGTAACCAATGAGTATTCGAAGGAAGTTAAGAAGTCAAACTTCCGACAATATGGACAGATGGAAAAGCAGAGAGAAGAGCAGAAGAGAGAAGATCAGAGAAGAGAAAGAGTTAGAAGAAAGAAGATGCAGGTGCGCGAAAAGGTAGAAAAGTCATGATTCACTATGTTTTTCCAATGATGTGTGGCTCCGGAGGGTCGAAAAGTAGGCTCGCTAATGCGGGGGGGTGCGGAGCCAACTGGCCAGATGAGAGATTAAAAATTGCACACCGTTGTGGTGCGAAGCAAATTTCCAAGTCAAAAGGTACGAAACATGCCATTCTCGGAGCACTTTTGGAAGTTGAGATGTCGAAAAAGTGCACGCCGTTGTGGCGCGAAGCACATTTCCAAGCCAAAAGTGTTAAAAACTGAAGGTTGTGGACCACTTTTGGAGGTTCAGATGTCGTTTCGCGTGGCAAGAGCAAGGGATTGTGCACTTTGTCGAAAGCAAGCAAAACGTGGGGTTTTGTCACATTTCCAAAAACCATGGCAGGCGTGGGGCATTTGAAGAGGATCTGGAAAGATGCATTTTGTGTGGCAGGCGCAGTACAAGAGACATGTTCATCAGAGATCTCCTAAGGGGTTGCATTTTCGTTTGTTTCTTCTTTGCGAAAATGCGAAGAGCTTCCGACACCAACAAGTTCTCCAACAGCACCACCGACTGCTTCGCCTGGAGCATCAGATCTTAAGATTTGCTGAGGTGATTTTGCGTGACAGGTGCAGCACTTCGTACTTCCTGGCATCACTTTTTCTTGGCAGGCGCTAGTTTAGAGAGATGGATTGGAAAAATCGCAAAACGCATTGGTACGAGGCTGTCGGCTCTGCACCCAAAGTTCTATTTTCGAAGGAAGTCTTGCAGAATTGCTTCGTTCTTGATGTTGCCAACTTCGAAAATTGAGGATGTCGCGCAGAATTGCTTTATTTTTGATGTTGTCAAGTTCAAAAACTGAGGAAGTCTCGAAGAATTGCAGCATTTTTGATGTTGTCAAGTTCAAAAACTGAGGAAGTCTCGTGAATAGCTTCGTTTTCAAACTTGCAGAAAGACATATAGATAGATAGACAGCCACAACTACAACTACAGCTACAACTACCACCAAACTACACTACTACTACAACTACAAATGCAGATATATTACGCTACATTACACTACACTAATTGCATCCATTACGCTACACTACACTACGCCACACTACATTACACTACAACAACAACAACAACAACTACTACTACTACTACTCCTTCTCCTTCTCCTTCTCCTTCTCCTTCTCCTTCTCCTTCTCCTTCTCCTACTCCTCCTCTTCCTACTCCTAATCCTCCTACTCCTAATCCTCCTACTCCTCCTACTCCTCCTACTCCTCCTACTACTCCTCCTACTCCTCCTACTCCTCCTACTCCTCCTACTCCTCTTCCTCCTCTTCCTCCTCCTCTTCCTCCTCCTCTTCCTCCTCCTCTTCCTCCTCCTCTTCCTCCTCCTCTTCCTCCTCCTCTTCCTCCTCCTCTTCCTCCTCCTCCTCTGCCTCCTCCTCTGCCTCCTCCTCTGCCTCCTCCTCTGCCTCCTCCTCTGCCTCCTCCTCCTGCCTCCTCTGCCTCCTCCTCCTGCCTCCTCCTCTGCTCCTCCTTTCCTCTGCTCCTCCTCTCTGCCTCCTCCTCTGCCTCCTCCTCTGCCTCCTCCTCTGCCTCCTCCTACTCCTACTGCACTGCTACTCCTACTGCACTGCTACTGCTACTGCTACTACTACTACTGCTACTACTACTACTGCTACTACTACTGCTGCTACTACTACTACTACTACTACTACTACTACTAGTACTACTACTAACACTACTGCTAACACTAGTACTAACACTAGTACTAACACTAGTGCTAACACTAGTGCTAGCACTAGTACTAACACTAGTGCTAACACTAGTACTAACACTAGTGCTAACACTAGTGCTAACACTAGTGCTAACACCACTACTAACACCACTACTAACACCACTACTAACACCACTACTAACACCACTACTAACACCACTACTAACACCACTACTAACACCACTACTAACACCACTACTAACACCACTACGCCGCCGCCGCCCCACCACCCCACCCCCACCCCCCCCCCCGCCGCCGCCCCCACCACCACCACCACCCACCCCAACCACCACAACACCCACCACCACCACACCACCGCTACAAAAACAATTACAGCTACACTTCGCTACGCTAATTAAACTGCAGTTGTGGTGAGGTGACCACTGCAACCATTGCAACCACTCCGAAAAACACAACTCCAACCACCTTTCGGTGGATCAGTGGATTTGCTCTGCCATCCGTGAGTCACAACAACCAACCTCTCCTACAGGTTTCCTATTTTTGAAACTTCCGCCGTCGCCTTGTGCGGCACTACTGGTAATTTATACCGAGGCTCACTGGCATCGAGGCTTATCCGAATCAATCCATGCTCAAACCCACATTGAAATCTCAATGTAGTACTTTCCTTGTGCTTCTTTTTTCCGCTCCTTGCTTTTCAAACGCATCTCGACTGCTACTTCCCCTTTTTGCGCTTTTCATGTCTCAGATGTTTCAGGATATTGGCACTGAAACCCTCTATGGCTGGTAAAAGCATCGCCCCCCCGAGGCTGCGACCTACGGTGGCATGGCCAGCAGGAGGAAATGGCCGAAGATGTTTCAGTCGAGACGCTTGGTGGTGCTATTGGCTATTCTGGTCTCAACACCAGGGAGACAGACTTTAAAAACATCGACCTGTTGAGCCATCAACATCAAAATCAACTGTGAGATTGCCTATTCAAAGGCATCAGCAGATGTCCAGTTATTTCTCAAACAATGTGCGCCCTGAATTTCAACACAAAACGTGTGAAGAGGTGGTTTCCATCTGTCTTGGATAGTATTTGTATCTATCAATCTTTTGGCAACCAGGGATTTTGAAGCCTTTACAACAGCCCACTGAGGATGTTGCACCACTGTTTCGAGTCCTTTGCCCCTCGGCACACGCTATGGTGCCATATGGTGCCCCTGTTTCGATTCCATGCAGGTCTAACGATGGGCTATCGATGGGATGATCGCTGGGTCACCACCATATGCTGGTTGCTGGTTGAAGAGATACGTGGTTTGTCCTGTTCATTCTTTGCCCGGTCACCAGCGAATTTGGGCTTTTGATCCCAGAACCACGTTGTTGGGAGCTTGGGGAAGATGAATGACTTGCTTGAACTGGGTGTGTTGTTTCTTTGGGGTGGACGCCATGGAATTCGTGTGGTCATGGTCCAATTCTGGCGGATAGGTGCAAAATTTTATAGCATTTGACAATTAGGGAATCACAGAAAGACGGGTCAGACTGGAATAACTTTGCAAAGTAATGGCTGTTTATTTCTGCATAGCTCTTTCCGTACAGAACAGACAAATTTGTTTTTCAACAAGCTCAAGGCACTAAGTCGTTGCATACTCAACATTGATCGATTTCTTGATTGCCAAACTCAGCACACTTTCAGCAACTAGAGAGATGTTGAACACAAAACACTTGCGTGCGCATGGCTAACTCATTCTATGATGTACTTCTTGTGGACCACAATGCGACTTTGGATGAGATCAAGTTGGCCTTCAAGCGGCGAGCGTTACAAGTTCATCCAGACAAAGGTGGCAGCAAGGAGGCCTTTCATTTGGTTTACCAAGCCCTTGAGACTTTAGCTGACCCCGAGGCACGCAAGACCTATGACCATTCCCTGTCCAGCCAACCCGTCCACCCACGCCAAGCCGCACCCAGCGGCCGAAGATCTTCGGCCAAGAAGCGCTGCCACAAAGCTGCAAAACCCACCAGGCCACCTGCAGGCACTGCAGCTCCAAGAGGAAGCTGCAACTTTGGGCAGGTGCAGAAGCTGTTGGTCAAGATCCATCATCTGTTGAAGGAGTTACCTCGGAATCTGCGCAGCACCGTCCTCAGCCGAGATTTCTCGCAGAAGCAGCGATTGATGCTGGAGAAGTGGATGGTGGAGACGGGCCCTCCCAGGGCCTTTCCTGGACTGCAGCCTCCAAATTTGGCCAAGGAGCAGTTTCCACAACAAATGGAACAGAAGGAGGCCATAGCAGACAGAGATGAAAAGGACGTGATGGAGGAGCTTGCAATGCTTTGGCATTGCTTCCCCATTCATCCAGCTTCTCTCCGGCGGTGACATTAGGACAATCTTTCAAGCAGAAAGGGTCCAGGAAGAAGAGAGACGCAAAGGGTGGCAGTGTGAGAGGGATGGTTGGCTGTGTCAAAAATTTCAAGTCTTCCTACCGGGCTTGTATTTGCTTTGATGCCATTGAAATATATACCGGTCAATGCGATTTGCCCACGGCCCTGGAGTATTTGGTGATCCTCACTGCTGTGAAGCAGAAGGTGCTGCAGTCCAGGCAGACAGCTGTGGAAGAGAGCCTGCAGCAGGCTTTAAGCTCATCCGCGCGAGAGCACGGGAGGGATGCTTCGGAACTTGGACTTCGCTTCGCCGTGGTTCAAGGGGCCGGAATCTTCATCGGATCCGACAGCCAGGTGCGTTCGCCGTGTGTTCGCGATGTGAAAGATTTCGTGAAGATTCGTAGGTGCTTGGACCCTTTCCGTGCATACGCAAAGAAAACTGGAAAGGCGGCAGCATCTACTGGTTTCACAGCCCTGCCGATCTCCAAGATGCCTGGGAGCAATTTCAAAGGGCCGTTTCAGAAGCTTGGCAGGCTGCAGGTGTTGATAGTGCGCCTTTCATGCAGAAAATCCGGACTCTTTACAAGGCAAACGCCAGTTTTCGTGAGAAACACCTGCAGAGTTGGGAGCGGCAGCATATGGCCATGCAGGACGAGAACAAGCATCGGCCTCAGAGATTGCGTGCGGGAAGTGGTGCTGCGAAGATGCTACTATCTTGGGAACGGCGGCACATGGCCATCAATGACCAGAACAAACATAAGCCTCAAAGGTTCCGAAACCATGGCCGTAAGAAGCCTGAGAAAAAAGATATTTTGACCGACAAGCTGTTAGTCTTAAAAACACTTCTCACGAAATGGGACCGCTTGTTGCAAAAGGAGGCCTCTCTGGTTGAGCAGGCGCGCCGCAAACGTCTATGGCAACAGAAGAAGGAACAGCAGGCAGCCCAACAACGAGATGCACTCAAAAAGAGGCAACTTCAAAAGGAAGAACGTTTGAAGAGAGAAAGTATTCGAAAGAGAATGAGGTCCGATTGCACGATGGATGACATTCTCGGTAAGAAAGCTGCTGCCCTGGGTGCAGGTTGCCCATCATGCCATGACAAGTCCCCAAATTGTTGTGAAGTTGGTGCTGAGGTGATAAATGCCCAGATGACCGTGCACTTGGTGCAGGTGAGACCGTGGGGGGTTCTTCGTTGAACCGCGGTACATTTGCCCTTTGAATATCCATTGCTTGATGATTTTTTTTGTTCGAAGTGTTTTTCAGTTGACAAGTTTGTTTATTACTGGAGGATATTCACTGTGCAACTGGGTATGGAGACTGGCAGTTGATCAAATTTTGACGATCTGTGCCCAAAAGATGTGCAAGGGCACTTCAAGGATTCAGACTCGAGTCTTGAGAGAGTACAGTGCCCAAATCCAAATCCACAAAAAGGACTTTGTTGTCAGCAATAGGTGAACTGCACTTTTTCTTTCTTTGGGTTGCATTATGAATTGGTTGTAGCTTCGCAGCCGCGCGAAGCTCTCCTTGGACACTTTTGAGGTGCTTCCAGCTCAACACGACAAGGAAGCCTCGGCCATGGAGCTGGCTATGGCTGGTGCAGAGGTGAACCAATTGAGGAGATGGATGGACATGAGGCAAATTTAAGACCCATGAGAACCAGATATTTTGGATCAATTTGGTAGTTATGCAGTTATGCCACATATTTTTACTATATGTATAGAATTCCAGGTGCCTATGCCAATTTTGACCCATACTTGTACCCGGCAAACATTCCAAAGTTGAAGATATAAATCACCCAAGAGCTTAGCAGTCTCATGGATCTTTGGATTACCTTCTTCAGGGTATTCAAGACCTTCTTTTGCGTGGTTTCTGGGTGCCGAATTCCAGATGTTTTTGAATCTTTGGCTGACTCATTCTCAACCTTCAGCCATGTCCCATAGGCGATGGGTGCTGCGCTGAAGCAGATGCTTGGATCTGATTTATCATCACTTTCCCCCATGAAAATGGCCGCTATGGGACAAAATAGGAGAGATGTAGCTTTCGCCGTCGTCACAGAGCATGGTCCCCATGCAATGGAGCAGGTTCTGACAGTAAGGAACCTTGCAAAGAAGAAGAAAAATGGGCGAATTTGTGACTCCATGGGTGCCATGGGTCTACAATTCTTGCCGAGGTGTGTGCTCATCGACCCACGGCGCGCAGGAGTTACTGCTAGTTCCAAGGGGACCCTGTCCACCTGAAGCGGTCGAAAAGAGATGCGGAGACGTGGCGATGGAGGATGGCCTGACAAAATGGTCCAAAGAGGCAAAAAAGTTCGTTTTCAGGAAGATGACCTGGGTCATTTCGAAGCTTTTTTGGGACCATACATTTTCCGATGTCACCATGGTATCCATGACAGGCTGTTGTACCAGCTGAAAATGGCCTCAGAGAGGCGATCTCACTGGCGTGGTGGGGTTGGGTGTGGCAGCTGTGTTTTTTTTCCTTGGAAAAAAGTGGAATTTCTCGAGAATCCTCATGGCTTTGTCCATGTTTCAATGGGGCAGCGCAATTTTAATGGGGAACCGACCTTGACAGACTCCTGGGTGCCAGTTCCAATGGGCCAGACTAGGAGTGAGCGTCCTGCCTTAGCGCTACAAGCTTCAGCCCTGGAGATGCAGGTGTGGCTCTGGAGGGCATGGAGGTATTTCCAGAGCTGGTGGACTTTTTTTTATTTTTCAATCTTCACAAAACAGCCCGGTTTTGTTTTTTCAACCTCATTTTCACATTATTTCCCGAATGCCTCACATTTTCCTAATGCCCAAAGTCATGGTCCCGACGACGTCCTCCGCAAGGCCAGCGTTGGATGGCCCGGGGCCTCCATGAAGGCCTGGGGCCCGGAGATGGCCCGGCAGCTTTCGCTGCGGGGATTTCGGTCACCACCGATGGTCACCAGCCGTCACCAGCCCCGGCAAGGTTAGACAGGCCCGCGTAGAGAAACTCACCAGGAAGTTCGAGTTGGAAAAGTGGGGGCCTCAGCTACAATCTGATCAATCTGGGTGCAAAATATGTACTGTTTGAGACTTTAAGGAAGACCTTGTGGCTTCTCTTCTGCAGAAATGATGGGATTTCTTTTTTGTCGGTGAAAAGTGCTCATTTGGTCCTCCAGTACATCATCCCACATCACCTTACACCATAAGCCAGGCATAAGCAGGAGATCGTAGCTTATGAGATGGACAACATCGAACAGGCAGGGGCTCATTTCAGAAAAATGGCTGTTCTGTAGGAACGACTGGGTGCGGAGGAAAACGGTTGATTTTTGGGTATCAAATTTAAGTTGTCAAGCAAGACCATTTTGGTGGCAGTTTAAACTACCCAAATGATTGAGTTTCTTATTCTTGGCCCAGGATTCAAGACAGACAGGTTTAGAAGTTACACATCATAGTGATATTTTGGACCTACTACTTTTAGTGATCCATAAGGTCATGGATTGGTACCCCTGTTTCCATTGCTTAGCCGGCTTGGTACTCCAATATCGCTGAAAACTTTTCATTGAAATCCATGTTGATTACCAGAAGGTAAATCCCAACTCTTGCCAGTAAAAATCAGCTGATCAATGGTTCAATGTGGTTCAAGAGGTTACTGATGGTAAACCATTGATCAGCTGTTTTTTTTGGGGATCAATGGTTCAATAGGGATGGTAAACCCTAAATCCCAATATGGTTCATCCATAAATTCAACTTCTACAGGTCGAATTACCCATTAAAAATTGGTGATTTTCCATAGCCTTTACAGGTACCCCAGAGGGTAAATTCAACTTCTACAGGTTACCCCATTTTGCCTGTGACCGGCCCAAGGCGCATGTGGAAGAGCAGCGTCAGATCCATCGCTTTAGCCTCCGGGAACGGCTGCGGCAGAACCGGGTGCCGCGGTGAAGAATTGGACGCCCTGGGGGGGCCGGTGGCAGAGATGGGTCTGGAAGCTGCCTGAAAAAACAGCCAAGTTGGCCCATTGTTGGCTTGGAGAAGCCACTTTTGGGGGGGCATTTTCGGCCAGAGACCTTGTCTGAAATGAGGCTGCGAAAGACGAGTGGGAAGCCCGTGGCCACGAACTGTGGCAGGATAACATGAAGGTGACGATGCCGTCGTGGCGACAGCTGGGCAAAGGTTTACGGTTGGCCAAGAGTGGATGCGTCCTGACCAAAATATGATTGCCCTCAAAGGTAGCAACACAGAAGTGAATCACCCGATTTTTCATAGAAACCATATCAATCGCGATTGGGGGTTACAGAACCATTTTCACACCGACCAGTTGAGACGACAGTGTGTAGGTGTATCAGAAGGTTTACCCTCTAATACTGAGATCTGCGTTGTAAGCGAAAATCACACACTTTTAGATAATCTACCTGGGTTTGTCTGAAAATAGTATACCCGTAAAAGCCATTGGATTATGATCATGTTCCCCATTAAAATAGCCATTTGGGGGTATGTTGTATACCCCATTTTCAGGCACACCTGTGCAAAATTGGAGATTTTCCATTGCCACGTTCCCAAGCGGAGCCGCAGGTCCGCATGGCCCGAGAGACCGAACAAATGCGTTTCAGCGACAAGGTCTTTCGCACGCAACAGGCCCTGGGCTGATGAATGGGTCTGGAAACATCCCAAGAGGTGGGGCTTACTGAAAAAGTCGCTTTTGCTGGGAACTTTGCAGAACGTGGAAAGGCTTTGATGTAGCTAAGAATAGCTCTGAGAGGAACATGGTTCTCAAGGATCTGTAGTACCTTCTATCAAAACAAGAGTTGAAGCAGGAATGTACTTGCCCGGTTTGTGGCAATACATAAGATTTGTTGGTGAACCGCACCACAAGTTGTCGGTAAAATATCTTATTCTTGTGCATTATGCAACAGCTCATTTTGGTTGGGGTTTAACACACCCTTTTTGGTCGGTCAAATGGTCATTCATCAATCCACTTTGATGGTATCTGATGGTGGGATGACCCTACTCCGGGGTGCAGTTCTGGTTATTCATGGATAGAAATATAATCATGGTAATTAACCCCATAATTTGGGATTTAACATGATGAAACCCAACTATGATGACATACCTACAAACTCCTCTAGGCAGAAAAAAGTGCCTAACCTGCCTGTAGGCGTTTATTTCTGCCGATTCCCAGAATAAATGCCTAGGCCCCAAAAAAATGCCGAGGCTGATAAATTTTTGTATGGTCTTGTCATGTTGTTCGGTGCAGAAAAATGTTTCGAACAATAATTCCGCCTAATTCCGCTTTTTTCCGCCTAGATCCCGGGTTTTTCCGCCTAGATTCCGGGTTTTTCCGCCTAACTTCCGGGTAAAAATGCCTAGGCACAAAATGATGTCGGAGCACAAAAAACATCTTGAGATAAAAATGCCTACATCAATATAAATCTGCCGAGTTTTGCAAACTTCCTGGTGAAAGTGCCTATGCGGCTGCCTAGGCGCCGAGGGCAGAAAAAAGTGCCTAAGGGTTCTTCTAGGTATATAATATCCAGCTAGTTCACTGGAACTGCGCCGGCATGTGCTCCACATAGCCTTTTTTCACTTGACCATGGGGTGGGGACCATTCTCCAGTTCTCTTCCCAGGAAAAAGAGCAGCAGCAGCGGCGTTTCGCTGCCTCCGAAGTCCTTCAGGGTACCAAGGAGCGGATGGAAATCATATAACAAACGCTGGCATCGACTCACTGGGGTGGATTAAACAATCAAGAGACAAGGCTTTTCTCCTGAAAGATAGGTTTAACCATGAAGAAGTGCGGGTGTTGGTATGGAAAAAACGGTTAATGGATTCAAAATAGTCGATTTTGGGTGGCCTGATTGATGAGAATATTTTTGGAGCTTCCAAATGACAGCTAGAATTACAAAGTGGCCTCAAATGTTTTTCCAAAAAGACAAACCATTGACACCAAGCCGCGAAGCCGAAGATGGTACAGAGCAGGTTTGTGGACTTTGGCCCTTCGGGCCCTTCCAATTTTCGGAAGGTGGATTTGGTCCTTCTCGGTGGTTTAAGGGAAGATCAACATCCCTCAGATCAATCCTTCGAACGCCACATAAAAATCCCATGGAATCTCATACAATTCCCCATATAATCCTGTATAAGTCCCCATGTTTCCCATTAGAGGTTGGTTTCCCCATTAGAATCCCATCATAATCCCATAACATGTCCTATTTCATTCCCCATTACAGCTCCTTGTTATTCCTTGTTTCTATATTCCAAAAGCCTTCGTGTGTTCGGGGCCTCAGGACTTTGAAGCCGGGCTGCAAAACCTGGGTATCACCAAGGCCATTGAGGTGGGAATGTGACAGCTGCCAGCATTGGTTGATGGTTGATGGTTAGTTGTTGGTTAGTTGTTGGTTGATGTTGGTTGGTTAGTTGGGCTATACCAACTTTTGCATGTTTGTTGGTTGATGTTAGTTGGGCTATACCAACTTTAGATGATGAACCAATGACCAATGCAATGTGGGAAGCCTGAGCAACTGCATGAAGAATCCCCCCAAAGGGGGATGAGTTGAGTGGTCGTGGCATCCATGGTATCGGCTAGCCAGGAGGGGATGCCGGAAGATAGCTCAGGGTACGAGACCTAGGGGCCCGTTTGGGGGGATGAGATGCCAGACGGTGGTCAGAAAGGTCAGAATGGTTTGTTTTTCGGTCGGATGTGAGTTTCCTGTCAGGAAAAGATCGAAGATCATTCGGGTGTTTCTGAAATGACGAAACATCTGGGTGTTTCCTGAAATGGAGGGAAGTCCCCAAAAACAGCTGAACTTGGTCTATACTATGCTTTATCGGGCCAACGCTTGGGCAGCATTTTTCGCAACCTTGTGGCAGCTGAGGGAAGATGACGATGCAACCGCTGAGAGGTGGCCGAGCGGGATGGCATCCATCCCCAAAATGGGGGGATCCCCAAGAAGATCGTCCCCAAACCCCTTCGATGGTGAGTGACTGTTCAACCTTTTTGCCAGGCTGTTGGCGCAGACCTCCAAGGTGGCTTCAGCCAAGGCCGGAGTTCACCCAAACTTGGACTTCGATCCACTAAGAGCAGTCTCAATCAAAAAGACCAGTGGGATTTTCAGGGGGAAGCAACGAACAAAGGAAATATCACCATACCAAAGTGGTTTGATAGCCATGCGACCAGGAACCAATCGACTTTGGGGTAAACCAAAACAGGCTTCGCGCGATATTTTCCATGGTATTTTTTTGAACATTTTGATCATTTTGGCGCGATGCAGCATTGTTGAAAATGATTCGGACAGATAAGCATTTTCATTTTGTCTTCATCAGGAGATGAGCTTCTGAGCGCAGTGAACCCCTTTCCACGAAAAGACAGTCACCAACACACACTGCATCTCCAACTGACACGGAGAAATACCCATACATACCGTTTGCAACTCCCCGACCTTTTAGTGGGTACTCAATACACATGGTTACAATTACCAATGATGTTTTTTTTGCTGCACACTGCACAGAAAGTTTATGGGATCGGAGCCCAATTGCTGCCTTGCTGCATCTCCAGGAATTGGTGGATGCCTTGCAGGCCAAGTTACCCACCAACCAGGTGGGAGTTTTCAAAGGGAAAAGTACGGTGGCCTACCCGGGAGCCCACTTTCTTCCCCTCCTCAAATCTAAGGCGGAAGTCATTTGTCATGATAAATTCATGTAAACTCATTTTCCAAGCCAATTTTTTTGGGCCCTTTTAATTCTATGTCAGATTTCAGGGGATTACACCTTGGAGAAGCCACATGTTTTTTGGTCATCATCGAAGTCCAGGCCAAGTGGTCGTGGAAGAGCTTGGAGTAGAGATCCGGGTTCCGAAATTTGGCGGCCCAAAATCTGATGGTTTTTGATATATTATCATCACCTTCATTCCTTTTCCCCCGATCCATCCATCCGTCCATCCATCCAAACACTTGGCAGGAGCTGAACTACGAAGCAGGCCTCTTCATGAGGAAGATCAAGGCGCATGGGAAGCTTGGGAAGCTTGGGGGCCTGCTTCGTTGGGCTTTGGCCATTTTTGGAGTTGGTGGCTCCACCAGGAAGTGTTTGAAGAACTTAAATCAGTAGCCTGCTTCAAGCGCCTTCCTCTCACTGACGTGATGCAATAGATGGAGACAATGCTGGTCCGAAAACTTCACCTATCATCTTGGAAACTCACATGGCGTGGTGGAAAATCTCAGCCTTTTGCAAACACTTTTCCTCCAAATCCAGCCATGTGGGAAAAAACGCGGTGTGGTGCCTTCCAGAAGCGCGGAAAACCCACCCGATCCAGATGAAGCGTAAAGGCAATACCTACACTAATCTATACTACTAATCTATTGAATCTCCAAAATGTTCGATGCTTGAACCCACTTTTTTGTTGAAAAACAGTATGTTTAAGTCCCAATTTGTTGCCAAATCCCCCTTTTCGAGGAGTCCAAGCAAGCGGGCACCATTGCACGGCGGGAACGCGAGCGTCGGAGACGACGGGTGCTGGTGGAGCAGCAGCGCGAGCAGGTGGAAGTGCTGTGAAGTTGTGGGATATCCATGGAATATCCACAGAAAAACATAGAAAAACTAGCAATTTGCCATTCGAATGTAGATTTCTTGATCAAAACTGTGTTTTTTTGGTATCAAACATGTGAATTTGTGGGATATAATCAAGAAAGGTGTTCACGAGCAAAAGGTTCACCACGGGAAATAGGGGTTTAATAGTGCAATCAAGAAAATCGGGATTTAACCAGTACATGTCCGGATGTAACCAACAAAACATGTTCTTTTTCTCAATCAAACTAGGTATTTTACTATCAAGCACGTCCAATGAATTGAATTTTGATTTCTGCATGGATCGGGTGACATCACCGCTTTCAACATGTTTCAAATGTTTCAAAAAAAAACAGAATGGGCATAGAAGCAATGATCCTGGTGATATGCTTGGCCGCTAGTTTTCATATTTCTGTTTTCCATCCAACATGGGATGATAGAAATCGACTCATGTGTTAGGAGTTATGCAAAATCACCAACCAGGATAGATGGATATGTGCAGATCTACGGTACATTTTTTTATGTCCAAAGAATATTTTAGCAAACCATGCAGGTGGAGTCTAGTTGGGTGTACAAATTGGATGGACACAAACCTTCTGGCTATGCTCTAGATTACCCTCTGGTTATGTCAAAATAGCTATTGAAAATGACCATTAATAGTGGATTTTCCCATTAAAAATGGTGATTTTCAATAGCTATGTTAAATTACCAGAGGGTAACTAGTTCAGAAGATTCCAACTCGTTTGCTAGACGCAAAGACTCCCAAGTCGTGTTGTCGTTGCAACTAAGCAGACGTATCTTGAAAGAGAACAAGGAATTTGAATGAATTTGACATTTCACGATAGAGGTGTTTGGAAATGGAGCCCCTACCTCTCATTTATGGCAATGTCCATAGGGAAAAAATGAACGAACTTGACGATCTTCGGCCAGGAAATGCTCGAAGAGAACCAGCTGGAGCAGGTGGGATGGTGAAAGATCCAGAAGATCTATGGCTATCCATGAGAAAAATATCCACTATGATGGTGATATGGAAGACAACTTTGGATATCCAGAAAAAAACATAGCTTCCACTTCTATCAACACACACATTTTTTCTACAGCCAGGTCCTGATGGAAAAGCTGAACCGCGAATCCATTGAGGCGTTTTTTTTTTTCCCGGATGGAGGGGGTTTTGTGGTTCTTGTAAGAGATCTATGGTTTTGCACCACAAACCATGGGGATTTTTGGGTCCCATCCTGGGGGTTTCATCAGAAAAACCATGGGATAACAGGATTTCACCCCGTTGAACGATAGCAGGGGGTACATGGGCGCAACTGCAAGCGACAGATTTTGATGTGAAAAGCAGGGTTTCTTGTTTTGACCCATATCCATATGTCCTCCAGTTTTTACAACAATGGTGTACGCTGCACTGCGATGAATTGATGAATCATCACCCATGTTTTTGGGAGCATCATCTACATATGTGGAATGTCTCACTATTGCCAAGCTTACACATATTGGCGGGCAAAAGAAAACGGCCCCAAAAAAGGGTCGTTATCGTTATCCCAACCTTGTCATCCAAAAAACTGAGGCCGTAAAATCCGCAGCAACCCGTGGTATTTGGATGGCAAGAACCCACAATGATTTTCCGACAGGAAAGCGCCATCAGCTACCGTAGTTGGAGGGCCAAAACCTTTGAGGAGGTCTTCGTGAGGCTGGGCTGTGTAAAACGAGGAGTCCCTGAAGTTGGCAATGCCTTGTATCTGGCTTCATGACTCCTGGTAAGTATGATATCATGGGATCTATCTATATATATAATTATATATATATATATATTACATATCTAAGTGTACTCCAGTTAAGAACCGGTTCGAAGTTCAATGATCACAGTAGACTTGATTGTCTTCGTAGATTGCGTTTCTTCACATCTCTTTGTTTGGGTCCATTCAGTGAGCTGCGGATCTATCCGAGGAATCGACAAGCGCGGCAGCAGCAGTACATTGCCAAAAAGAAAGCGGACAAAGAGGAGGCAGTGCAGCGGACTTTGTGTTGACCTGGTATAAGACAGGTTTCCGAAAGTTCCGCGCTTTCAGGACTGAAGATATGATCTTAAAGATTCTCAAGGTACATATAGTTGATATATAAAGGTCAGTCTTAAAAATCTTTTGTTGCTAGCGGAATACGGGTATCTCTCCAAGTTGGGGACCATCCTTACGCCATGGGATTCCTTGCTATATGAATGGGTGTCTTGAATTTGGTGTCTTTTCAGGATTCCTCAGTTTTGGGAAACGTCCTGCGGACCTGACTTGGGCGGTTGACAACCCTTTGCATGGGGGCTTTGTGGGTAGATAATTCCTCAGTAAACTGTCTACCTATCATTACCCGTCTGTATACATCCATAAAAAAACGATAGACATGTCAACCTATTGATGATTAATCCATCATTAACCATCACTAACCAATGATTTTGAATCAACGGAAGTGGGGTGATGTTCACCAACTCTGCGACGAGAAAAAATGGCAGGCTCTGAAGTGGGACCAGGCACCTTCCCGTGTTGGGATGAATCTGAGGGGATACCATGGGACCTGCCGACAAAAATCCCACAAATTTAGCCCCAAGGAGCTACTGTATGGTCTTCAATCCCTGACCGACTTAGCGATTATTGACCATTAAAAGTGAAGAGATTGTACACATCTGAGGCTCCGTTTGTACCCCTTCGGGAGCCTTTTGGATTGGATCCTGGCCTTTTGCGAAGACTCTATCATCTTGCTTCACCCATCTACTCATTTTTTCCCTTGGTACCCATTGTTGACGCTTTGCCACATGGAGACACTTGTTTTGAGACTTTCAATCTAGACTGTGTCTTCCTCGTTTTTCATGCTGACCAGAAGCCTTCCAGTTAATACCAGCTGTGAAATACACAGACGGCTGCAGACGGGCTTGCACTGGGTCCGACACTTTTTTTTTACGGGTTGGCCTGAAAGTAAGGCACCCAACATTTTATGTTTCATCATCATTTTCCCCATTGAAATTGCCATAAAATGGTGTATTTGTGCAATATGTCAGGCGTGCAAACCTCTCATCCCGCAGATAAGTAATGGAGTTTTTGCCCACAACTGAAGAACCTTTCAAAACACCCTAGATCCCATGCTTTCACACCTTATCTTCTCCATATTGGCCAAATATAGAGGTAGATCCTCCAATTTTTGGAGAAACCACACATTCCACGGCAGGATCTGAGAGACGAAATGATCGAGACCCTTCGAGAGCAGGAGGCGCCCGAATCGGGCGCCACGGCTTGGCTTGCGCCGTCGTGGCAAGCGGAGAAGAAACAAAGCATTCCCTGGAAATTGGGGTTTACCCTCTGGTAAATCACCATTTTTAATGGGAAAACTCACTATTTCTATGGCAATTTTCAATAGCTATGTTAGTTTACCAGAGGGTATCAGCCAAAAGAAGATTTTCACTGATTTCGTTATGAGATTCACCACCATGAAGTCTTCGGGGATACAACCAAAGATATCTGTTTTTTTTGGCCATGTTCCGGCAAGAAAAGGACAGAAACAAGAACAGACTGGTTGGTGGTTTCATGTTTATCATTTTAAACAGTGAGGTGGTCATTTTAGCCATGTACCAATCCGATGGTTTGCACAAGGGCTCTGCTTTTTTCGCTACAGGAAAGGGAACGTGTCCGCTATCGTGCAGTAGAGCGGGGGGCCCACATGTGAGTAGCGATCTCATTGGAGATCTCACCGTAGATGATGCTTAGTTGGGGTATTGATCCCAAATGTCTTCTGTCTGGCCAGCTTTTTTTCGGGTTTGTGAGTCATGGTCTTTGCCCAGATCAATTGTTCTTGAGTGAAGCAAACCCTTTGGATCTAGGCAGTTGTTCTCTCATGGGCTTGAAGCAGATCCCACAAAGTCCACCCCGCGTCTCAATTCCTTCTTCCCAACCTTCAAAGAAAGCCTATCTCAGTATTGCATTTGATGTGGTACACCATGATAAACTCCAGCAACAAGATGCTTATGATGCTATTCATATTTTCCGGAAATGGGTGGTAAATACCATCCCCATTCCGGATTACAATCGGGCTTTACCACTGTAGCCATCTATTGGAAAGCCCCGGCAGTAGCTCTGAGGCGTTTTCGTCATGCGAAACGACGGGAGAAGCTGCGTGAGGCGCGCGACGAGCGATCATAGTATCCGATGCTTGATCCAATATCCAATACCCTCTGGTTATGTCAAAATAGCTATGGAAAGATCCACCATTTTTAATGGGAAAATCCACTATTAATGGGTCATTTTCAATAGCTATTTTGACATAACCAGAGGGTATTTTGGTGGTTCCAACTGGAGCTTAAGCAGCTTCTTGGACCAAGCAACTGGATTTGTTCGAGGTCTTTCTCAACGGGACTGGCAGGGTAAGTAGGTCTTCTGCAGGAGATGGAGGGCATCCTGGAGCTCATTGTGCAGATGGCCTTTGCCGACCTGCAGCAGGACATTCAGAGCTCCGAAAAATGTTTGGGTTCTTCTTTTGGAGATGTTTTGATGGCTATACTCAATGGATTGGTTTAAGGGAAAATCTACAGGAAACCATAGATTTTCCCACTAAATATGGGTTTTTTCCCACTAAATATGGGGTTTTCCGGTTAAAATTTTCCCTTAAACCAATCCATTGATACACTCCAAAGATGGTGGATTAAGAATGGTGGATTTCACCTGGATTTTACCATCCAAACTGGTGGTGCCCAGGAGCAGTTGACGGACAAAGAAGAGGTGCGGCAGCGAAGTCGGAGCTTTGGAAAGTCTTGGGCTCTTGGGATTCTGCTGATGGACACCTATGACACCTATTCCAAATGGAATCCGTATCGCATCATCTTATGACTTTCAAATTCATTGACAAAAATAGAAGAGGACAAACATGAAAGAAACGCTTTTCTGGTTGCTGGTTTGGGTTTCGTGATCCTGAGCGCAAAGCGGGTTTACATTTACATGGGAAAACATATGGCAAGATGACGATAACCCTTTGGGATTGGTGGTACACCATTTTCAGACAAAGCCATGTCTTTGAGACTTCAAAGCTTTCCTGCCTACCTTTCTGTCGCTGCAGGTCGACAGCACGCTGTGGCGAGAGTGGGTGGCACTTTTCGAGGAAAATCTGCCAGTTGGGGTGGCCAATTGGATTCCGACAACTCCACAGACAGGGGATCGAACCAACAAACGTGACGGGGTTTATCAACAAAAATGGCGAGATCAGCTACAAACATGGTGCATTCTTGATTTACTGGGAAAATCAATGCGGACTTAGTGAGCAAGTGGGGTGGTTGCTACAGCCTTTGAATGCCCACCCTGGGTTTGCCTATGATTTAGGCAAGGTCCTTCACGTTGACAGGCAAACCGTGACATGTGCGATGGTCCAGTAGTTGTCCCAGATGGTTTAGTTTTTTTTTTGTAGTTCACACTTTGGTCCAGCTAGGTCGTGGTTTCCACGTTTCGATTCGCCTAGGTTATGCCACTGCCCAGCCTGCAGATGTGTGCAGAAGAACCGTTGGGAAGCTCAATGGACCAAGGTTTGCATGGAGGAAACGAATTCGGAAGGAGCTTGACCCCCTGTCTCTGCGGAAGGTCAGCACCAGGCTTTTACCAGATTGGTTCCCTGAAACCACTATATGGATCTATATGGTACATGTAGATAGATCGTTGCAATTGGTACAGGTCTCAAAATTATGGCCAATTCGCCACGTGTGGGTCAACCCCAATGAGCGCTGTCAGGGCACCCTTGACGGCCCTCCCAGAGCCTACGGGCTTGGCGAATCTGCATTCGGTAGGAGCAAGTGCTGGGGGATGGATGATGAAGTGGGCGTCTTTGAAAATGGGGTACACCCGCAAAAGGCCATCATACTGGGGATAATTATGGATAATTATGGATGATTCTGATTATGGATAATTATGGATACTTATGGTGAATTATGGATAATTATGGTGAATTTAGCAACCCTATTTCCAGACAAACCCAAGTAGTGTGAATAGGAGGGTCCCGTTGCAAAACTGCTGTGGAACCCACAGAAATTGGATATTTTTCAGCAACTTTTATTCTTCCCGCCTGAGGTTTCCCAACCATTTTGCACCCTCCAAGTCCGCCACTCTATGGTCGAGTCTGTTCTTGGCAATGGTTTTAAGTGCATTTGGACTCCGGGGACACCTATTTTTGGTGGCCAAGACCGAATTTTCAGCGGGCTGCAGACTTTCCCCGTTGGTGAAAGTATGCAAACAGCTCAAAGAAACACCGCGCAAGAGCCCCGAACCTTCCATGGAATCGCTGCAGAAGAACCACATTTTCTGACTCCAAATTGGTAAATGTCAGGGTCTGAAAATGTGGTGACTTGGTAAATCCCAAGTCATTGCTGTGGTCTAGCTTGAACACTTGCCATCAATGGGAAACAATGATGAAAATGAGGGCTGCCCCACCTTTAACTGGGAATACATTGATCAAATTGCTGTGGGAATTTGGGGCGCCCAACGTTTGAACAAACGCCCAGTACGTCCGGTCACAGGAGCCACGCTGAACTCAGCGGCTTTGCGGGACTTCATGGATGCCAGGGGACAATGGCAGGTGCCGGTCGCCTGGTCATGTTACACCAGTGATGTGCAAAGATCATGCCATAGCAATGGGACCATTCTCTTAAATTTAGGAGGTGAACATTGTTTTTTTTCCAGCTGTTTTGGTGTGATCTATGACATTTCATTTTTTTTCGGATAAACATCAGCCGTTTTTTCATGTGAGAGCCAAAAGGGTTTTGACTCATAGCAATTTTCGATGATTTTGCTTGTGTTTAAGGTTAAACTTCTTGCCTGTGTACAGATACTGCGAGACGTCCATTCAAATTTATGTTTCCTAATGTGAATTGTCATATCTAATGAGTCTACTACGGTGCAAAATAGACGGAAACACGAGCAACACTCTGCGGCATGTTTTGTTTTGCTGCAACATCAACTCCGATTTCAGTTGAGAACCTCAGAGATGCCAATCCTTGTGGATGAGTCATGCTCAATCTGGGATACATGTTAAAAGGATTTCTGTAACATCCCAAAGTTCATGCGTCAGATTTTCCACTGACCGTCTTGGTCAAATGATTTGGATGAGATTTTCGAAACATCCCTGGACTCATGAGATGTTCACATTTCCCATCAGCAAAGTGGGAAAGTGGGCAGGTTCCCATGGTAGAAGGCGATGACGAGGAACTTCAAGAGGAGGCGCGGGTCCAGCCACTGGTACGGAGTTAAAAGCCGTGGTAGACTCCCCACGATATTGGCAAACCCGCCTCACATCAGCTTCATGCACAATGCACACATATATGATATATATATATATATATGTAGTATATATATATATGTACTATATATATATATATATATATGTACTATATATATATATATACAGTAATATAATTACACATATAATATACATTGACACACACACACAAATGATGTGTGTGTATATATATATACACATATACACATATGTATAATTTCATGCAAATGTACCAAATTTGGGGCTGCTCAAGGTGCCCGCATCGCAACCCACTGTGGAAGCCTTCAATGCCGACGCCGAGGCTGCGGAGCCTGCGGAGTTTTGGGGTCACGGAAGAGCTACTGTAAAACCATACTCCGGTGATCGCGGGTGTAGGTTGTTTGTGTTCATCAAACCAATTTCTTGTTTTTTTTTTTTTTTACATAGTTATCATACTATGTATTACTATGTTTTTATTCCTGAAAGATGATGAGAACCTGGTTTCAACAGTCCTTTCCAACCATAGGTGAATGGGATTTCTTTGAGACTTCTCCTCCGTTTCCGATGTCAGGTAGCTGCCACTCTGGAAGAGGCTCAAGGGGTACGCCCCCACTGTGGAGCAAAGGTGGGAATGGCGTCCAGCGCAGCCCTGTTGCTGGTAATTGTAGATCTGGACTTGAAAGATACCTGAAGCCATTTTCCTTTGAAGCATGAAGGCATTTGTGCTTACGGGACGTCATCAAAATGCGAGGGTATACCAATAGGTGCCACTCTCAAGGTCCCAGCAGTTTCACCCACGAGGCAAGGGGCCCAGCACCAGCCATACGGGAATGGGTGCTCTGTGTCCAACTGTGACAGCTCAATTTGTGAGTCCTTGGAACATTTTTGGAACATTTCACCCAGGGCCATATATCAGCAGTTGGGATTTCGCCATGCTCCCGGCGCAACACAGTGCCATGTACATGTCGCCCCTCAGCCTAACGAGCCGCCATGGATGGCGACAGCAGCGATGCTGAGAGCACTTCAGAGGTGGATGAAGGTGCCAGATAGCCTCCAGTAAAACTGCCATAGACCCTAGAGTTATGGCCCGAAATACAAGTTATAAGTACTTATAACACCATTTATGGAATGTATAATTCCCATTTAGAACCAGTTACAACCATTTATAATTGGTAAACTGCCATAGGCCCTATGAAAATCGCAAATTTTAGTGGACAATAATCGTCCAAAGAATATTTTGGAAGTGTCTATGGGATGGTTTTTCTTGGCAGTTACAACTTGGGTAGTTCTAGGATTCCCAGAAGCTAGGGGATAATTTTTTGTGGGTTTCATGGAGAGTTCCTTTTCTATATTCTTAGTTCCTAAGGACCATGATTTATGTTTGTCAAGTGCTTAGATTTGCAAGGTATTGATTGGCAAATCTGACTTGCATATGGCCCACCCCCAATTTCATTCCAGTTGACTCCCAACATTTCGACCCCCTAAGTCATGGGTTTGCCGAACCTTTCTACAGTTATGAATGATCTATCTATCTATCTATCCATCTATCTATCTATCTGTCTATCCATCCATCCATCCATCCATCTATCCATATATATATATATCCATATATATATATTTATACATCAAAGGCACTTTGAACACACAGACCGAAGATCGTGCCATCAGCCTTTTGCGCCAGGATCATCATCTTCCGAAGCGGGAAAGACACAGTGGCCTGCCTGGAAGGTCTTGGTGCCCGCCTTGCTCCTGGTGCTGGCATCACTGCTGACCAGTCGGGGAACCTGATGGGCCTGGGACCTCGTTTGGCACGAGGTCGTTTGGCACGAGGAGCCATAGCAAGCCATTTTTGGGCAAACAAGTTGTCCCCACCAGAGGACATCATGATATCCAGCTGCCGAGACGACATGAGGTGCATGGCAACTTCCGATGCAACGAGGTCATCTGATGGCGCAACTGCTCCCAGGCAATGGGGGGAGCTAGGATGAAGGTGCTGAGGTGGTTGATTGTCACCAAATGGTTTGGAATTATTTGGAACTCAACTTGGTTGAAAATAAGAAAGAGTGATGAGAACCCCTAGATTTCACTGGTGTGCGTGAAATCTATTCATTGGGTTGTATGGATTATAACTTTAAACTACTTGTAGACTCAGGTTATTGACCACGAGGAAAAAATGTTCATCGATCCAGTCTAAACAGACAAAACACCGCGGCTGCGGAGGTTTACTCAGTTTGTGCTTTGCCATGGCCTTCCTCTCCTTTTGGTGGCAGGCGGAAACCGCTGGCATGTTGCTCCGGGATTAGGGACCAGTCACTCTGGAAGAGTGCTGGCAATGTTGAATGGAGATGAATCAATCTGGATTCGATGGATGCCAGAATTGCATTCGAATTGCTTGAACGGACCACATTTGCCAGAAATCATCAGAAATCCTTTGTATTTGATGGTTGAAACCATATGAAACCATATGAAACCATGTTAAAACCTTGCCTTCCCCATGGTTCCATGGTTCCGGAGCCTCCCAGGCGGATGGCTTGGTGGGTCCCAAGGGGATCTTTCCCATCGCCGACCAGGCCGAGCGGCTGCTCCATCACCAGAGGGTATAGCATGGTCCTGAAAAGTTCATGGATTAATGTTGTGACATTAATGACAGATATATCATATACATTAACCATGGATTAATGACATAACATTTTCATACATTTTGACATGTCATGGTATACCTAAAAATCAGATTTATCACATGTTTTTCATGACATTCACATACCAATGATACCATTTCTTGTGTTGCTATGGGGGTATTGGCCCATAGCATCTCTCTTGGATTTTCTTGGGTCCCTTGGATTGGAGACTCCGAGACCAGGGCATGCCAAAGGTGCAAGCCGTGGAGAAGGTCCGCAGCACTGACTGGGTCCGGACTGGGTCCGTTGGGTCCCAAAATCTCTGGGTCAGAAGCCGCTGGAAACCCAAAGGAACCCTGCCAGGCCCTGGGGAACCCTGGAACTCTGGAGCCTGAAGTGATCAACACATCAGCAGATCTTCAAGTTACGGTGTAGTCATCCACTCCTTGTTGGGTCGCCTGTCGTTTTGTGGCTCACAGGTGCAAAGATTCACCAGCCAAAGTAGAGCCAAAGTAGTTGCAAAGCTCTCAAATCCATACAAATCCTGCAGCATATTTTGAGATGGCGGCAAGCATTTCTACATGTATACCTATTTACAGGTTCCTTGTGGGCCAGGTTTTTCACGATTTTTTGATCCTACGAAAGTACCAAGATCCCCATCCAATCTCTGGGTCATGAGGGAGTCATTGCCACAAACCACATGCAACTGGCCCCTTTTTTAGATGGGTATGGATCAATACCTATTAATACCATTTTTAGGGGGATGAACATCCATTTACCAGCTATTTTGGGGTTCACCAGGGGTACAAGGTTTTGACCCTTCCCCAGATGGCCAAGACTTTCCTCACCTATATGTGCAAGCTGTATAAACTAGCTGATAGTCCAAGCTTCAGAACAGCAGTTTTGCTTCACTGGGGCCGCAATGGCTACAGACCCGGAGGACTCTTGGACCGACTGGAAGGGCTTTTTGGTGTGTTGAGACCCTGGTTTCGGCAGTGGACATTTCCAGCTCTTTGTTGGGAATTGAGTTGGGGATGGGGTCAAACCTATTAGCACACATCAAAAAACTATATTTTGAGGGAATAAATATCCATTAACCAGAGGGTACCATCCGGGTACATCCGGGTTTTGACTTTGACCCAAACAAAACCAGATCTTTCTGCCAGAATTGCAGCGGTTTTGTTAGGCGGACAGCTAATCAGGCGTTTATCCGATAGGCTTCCTATTTTGACTGTCTATTCATGCTCATGTGTCTGTTTATTGATCAAAATAGGGATACCTCACTGTAAGACTATCGATCTTAGATAGTCTTAGGCGGTTGATCGTTTTCACTGAGAATCATATATTATACTGTACTCATTATATCATGATATATGTGATATCTTCATCCTACATTTTTATGGCAACGTATCCGATTTTGGCGTTCACATCCTGGATTGTCTGTCTTTTCACCTTAACCCTGGTTGATGTAAGTGAGTGGTGTTGCAAGGGTACCGTCCCAATTTTAACCACAAAATCATAGGGGGTTCAATAAGCCCCTAAGTAGGTTTGATGGTGGCTAATAGTCAGTGAATCAGATTTTCTAAGTAAGAAGGTCCCATTTACCCTCTGGTAATTTAACATAGCTATTGAAAATCACCATTTTTAATGGGAAAATCCACTATTAATGGTCATTTTCAATAGCTATGTTAGTTTACCAGAGGGTATCTGGGTTGGGCCACCCTTAGATGTCCCCTGACCAAACTGATTGCCGCAGGTGCCGCCTCTGCGGCCCAGCCGTTCCAGCCGCTCCAGAAGTTCGGGGCGGAGCCGCCACAGCCATAGCCAGAGCCATTTCGCCTTGTGTCTTGGTGTGGAAAAGAGCTGGGGAAGGGCGAAAACCTTGGCAACTTTATGGGGACTGAGAATCAGAAGCAGACCACAAAAAAAAATTACTTTACTTCGTGTGATCCCCACCATGACATTTATACATGTTCTTACTGGCACATCTTCTGGCATTCTATCTGACATATCTTCTGACATTCTATTTGGCATTCTATCTGGCATATCTTCTGGCATATCTTCTGGCATTCTATCTGACATATCTTCTGACATTCTTTTGGCATTCTATCTGGCATATCTTCTGGCATTCTATCTGACATATCTTCTGACATTCTATTTGGCATTCTATCTGGCATATCTTCTGGCACATCTTCTGGCATTCTATCTGACATATCTTCTGACATTCTATTTGGCATTCTATCTGGCATATCTTCTGGCAGTTCTATCTGACATATCTTCTGACATTCTATTTGGCATTCTATCTGGCATTCTATCTGGCATATCTTCTGGCATTCTATCTGACATATCTTCTGGCATTCTATTTGGCATTCTATCTGGCATTCTATCTGGCATCTATTTCTGGCATATCTTTGGCATTCTATTGACATATCTTCTGGCATATCTTCTGGCATATCTATCTGGCATTCTATCATGGCATATCTTCTGGCATATATTCTGGCATATCTTCTGGCATATCTTCTGGCATTCTATCTGGCATTCTATCTGGCATATATTCTGACATATCTTCTGGCATATCTATCTGGCATATTTTCTGGCATTCTACCTGGCAAATCTTCTGGCACTCTATCTGACATTTTATCTTCCTACATGAGGTCCGGCAGGGAACACTTGGCGTGGATCCTCGCGGTTGAGGTCCGGCAGGGAACACTGGGCGTGGATGGTCGTGGTTGAGGTCCGGCAGGGAACACTGGGCGTGGATGGTCGTGGTTGAGGTCCGGCAGGGAACACTGGTCGTGGATGGTCGTGGTTGAGGTCCGGCAGCGAACACTGTGGATCGCGGGTCGCAGTTGGACGAGGACGACGAGGACGACGAGGACGACAAGGACGACAAGGATGACAAGGAGGACGAGGAGGACGAGGAGGAGAGGAGGAGGAGGACGAGGCAGGAGTCAGGAGGAGGCAGGAGGAGGCAACTGACATAAAATCTAACAACCCTCACCTGGCAGGTGGGGAATAACATGTTTTAAGTGGCAAGAATAAACGGATTTATGATTTTAAGCAAGAAAAAGGATTTGGACTATTTTGTCTGTTTGTGGTGGGTTTAAACATGGCAAGCAATGGTGATTATAGAATGGTTGGCTCCAGCGATAATCGCAATGACATTTGGAGGATGGGGCAAACCCTGTGGCTTTTAGCTTTCTTTCGAGGCATCAATGACTCTCCACATCGGTGTGAAACGCCGAGTAAGAGGTTTTGATCCATAGCCTTGCTAAGCCAAAGTCATTCACCCGGTCCCAAAGTGGGTTTGGCTCAAGGGTTATCAACCCTCCAAAAGTGGATCCCATTTTGGGTGGGTCTCTTTTTATTTTCAATGCTCCAAGACTATTGGTTTTCAGTGCAGTTACTGTTGATGAACACTCTGAACAGGGACCATGGTTTTTTTCCCAGTACCCTCTGGTAGTTTAACATAGCTATTGAAAATGGCCATTTATAGTGAGTTTTCCCATTAAAAATGGTGATTTTCCATAGTTATGTTAGTTTACCAGAGGGTAAAGGTTGCCAAGATCCAGGATGATTTTGGGGTCCCAACCCACTCCAGGCATGTGCGGCGGAATCTCTGGAGCTGGATCTGTTGGGCGGAATCTCGGTGGACCCAGCGCTAGCCTTTTTTTTTTTTGTTCGGAGGACATTTCTGGATCTGAAGTCCACGGATGAGTCGATTCCCCATGGAATTTAAGCCCTGATTTTTTTTGGGGGGGTTTGGGGGAAGGCCCCATTTTTCAGACCCTGAGCCAACAAAAGTGGGATGATAAAGCTGGGGAAGCAGCCAGCTGGATATCCAAATTGGCATGAGTCAAACTCAAAAGGCCCCAAGGCAACCAAAGATTTCCATAGTGCACTTTTAGTTGTAATCATAATCCATCTTTGAGTACCCAAAATCTTGATTGGTCGATGTTATCATACCCGGAAATCAGGTATGAACTTATGAACCCACCATGGCAGTTCTGATTAGGAAAATGAAATTTCAAATCCAGAACCTCCCAGGTGGGCTTGATCTTTGTGAAGCTCATGTTCGCCATCTCCAACGTGCTGCTTCCTGCCTGGGGCCCTGACTGCCACGGAAACATTTAGGGTGATGGTGATGATGATGATGATGATGATGATGATGATGATGATGATGGCAGTCATCATGTAATCATCATGAGGGGGTTCAGGAGATGTTCAATTGTGAACAGGTGATGAATCTGTCCCAAAATTAGGCCGTTCCATGAGTGACAAGACACTGCCCAGAATGACAATGCACTCTGCTCGTCAGCGTTTGTATGATCAAGTTGCTTGATGCATCTTGATGCACTATAATTTATAATCTCTTGCTCTTACCTCACAAAAGTTGAATTCATCAACATGGATCTTTTTCCACAAAGCAATGTCGACCGTTGGGCCTAGGTGATATTGCTTGGGCAGATGCTGATGCTGGACAATGCTGCTTGACACCAACCGTGAAGCGATGGCTAGGTGAGAAGCCGCGGATGAGTATGTGTGGATCTCTGATATACCCAGACTGGTAGAATTGAGTGAGTTCCATGCCCATTTTCCCTTGGACTCGGACAAAATATGACACAGGATGACTCCATTTCCAGATCAGTCGAACAGAAGGGTACATTGATGTTGTCACACTTCGGGCACCATCATGTTGTGTAGCGAACACTACTGTACTAGGCCTTTTAGCGAAGGACCCAGCTGGAGATTTGGAAATAGAATCCAGGTCTGCAAGCCCCAAATCTTCTGGGGACATGAATCCGATGTCACTGGATCAATGTTGGCCTCTCCACTGGGCTGGTCGTTTTCGTCCATCATCCAGTCCTATGACGTCATAGATGGAGTCATAGATGTCATAGGGACCATCCATGCCATACCCTTTTCAGTGTGAGATGCCATATGTTGGAATAGTTCGCAAGTCTCGGAATAGCCGTGCTGATTCTTACGTATGGTTTTGGTGGTAACCGTAACTGCATCATTTGGGTTTGTCTGAAAGTAGGGCACCCCAAAATTGGATGGTTGATGATCATGTTCCCTATTAGATTGGCCGGTTGAGGGTATTGCCCATTTTCAGACAAATTGAACTATCATATTAATATGTTGTTGATGGTACATCCCATGATCTCCCATTTATAAATGTCCCGCCAACATCCCATCAACTTCAATTGATACCCATTTCCAAGGGATCCAAGGGATCTTACCATCCCATCTTTTCGGCTACTGAGGCCATGTTGCAGCATCATACCTGGGCAGCTATAGCCGCTTGGTGGTGCCAGAAAGCAGTGTTTTTTTTTTTGCTTTTTTTCGAGCCGTTGTCACCCATTTCCCCATTGGTTTCAAGCCATTTTAGCCTGCGACATGATGTTCAAGCCATTCTGTTCCATTTCCCTTTG